TCATCGAATCGCGGAAGCGGATACTTCTCGTCTAGGGTGTTGTCATTGAGCTTTCTGAAGTCTACCACCACCCTGTACTTCTGCTCTCCCGACGACGTCTTTTTCTTCACCGCCCACAGGGGACTATTGTATGGTGACGTGCTGTCCACGATGATGCCCTGCTTCTTCAAGCTTTCGAGCTCCTCCTTGATATGGCGACGTAAAGCCTGCGGGTAACGTCGCTCCTTCACGTACGTCACCTTTTCCTGTTTTAACGGGATCTCATGTGCTGTCCTCCCAGTTGCGCTCAACACCTCCCCCTCTTTAAAAAAAATATCCGCGTATTCCCTCTTTATCCTTTGGACCCAATGTTCCGCTTGTTCTATTGCCCCAATGTTCCCTTTTCCTCCCACTCTCCCTTTCTTACACCGGTACCTCTTTCCTCCCATTCGTACCCTCCAACCTGTTCCCCTGTAGTTTATTCGTGGTCTCACTCTACTCAATAGGTCACATCCGATTATACCCCCATATTCTCTCGGCATATTCTCTACTACATGTACCCTCAACTTCCCACTTCCTGGGATCCATTTGTCTAAATCTAACTCTACTTCCCCTTCTATCCTACATGGACCACCCAAAGTGATCAACCTACACGTACATTTTTTTATTCCCGGTATCCTCTCTCCTTTACACAACTCCTCCAACATCTGCCTAGATACTATTGTATTCGAACTTCCCGTATCCACCAGACACTTTCCCTTCCCCACAACACTTATGATTGGCAAACCAACGCACTCACCTCCAATATTATTTACTACCGCGTGGCTGCCTCCCCTCTGCTCCTCTCCTCATTCGTCTGATCTTCCTCTCCTGTCCGCGACGGCTCCCCCTTCTCCACTCTTTCTGCTGCTTCTGCTTCTTCGAGCTGCACTCACCACCGGCTCCTCCTCCTCGGTTCCAGATGTTCCCGACGAATCGTCCGACTCCGATGCCGCTCCTCTCTTCCTCCACAATCTCTGGGCGTTCACCTCCATCGGCTCATCTCGGCCCGCTTCCCCCCGTCTACTCATATACGGGCATTGTCTAGCAATATGCCCCTCAGTTCCGCATTCGAAACATCGGGTTCGCGGGCAATTCGCCACTAGGTGACCTATCTTTCCGCACCCGTGGCATCTCCTGTCCTCCTTTGTCCATTTCCTTCTCTCCTTCCCTGGCTTTTTCTCCCTTATCGCCGTTCTTTCTCTCGCGCTAACTTCTCCTCCTCTTTTCTTCCAGCCTTCCTGTCTCGTTCTAAATCTACCGGGTTCCGCTCTCCTGTACGATACTCGGTTCCACCCGTTCTCATTCTCCTCTTCTCCCCTGGCTGCTTCTTCCTCCCGCGCGCTTGCATCAATCATTTCCTGGGCACACTCTACAAAACCCTTGTCTCTAGGTAGTCCATCCTTCTTTCCCGTGTCTCTACCCAGTTGTACTTTAAGGATGGTTGCCAGGAACGCCATTCTTGCTCCCGTTTCCACTGCATCCGCTACTTCCCTCGTCTTCTCCGTTACATTGTTGAATCGTGCCAACAGGTTTGCTGCATATTGTCCGTTGGACTGATACGGCTGTTTCTTCTCTCGGAACATCTGTAAGATGTCTTCTTCTGGGGCCCAACGGCCCCCTCCAAATGCCTTCTTCAGCCTGTCCTTCACGGTGCTCCATGGGGTGTCCTCATCCGCCTGGATCATGTTCAGCACACTCCTTTTAACCCGGCATACCAAGGCTGCCCTCAATGCGTTGGCATCCAGCGGATCTATCAAGTTTTCCCCTTCTTTGGCCGCTATACGCGATATCACCCGGTCGCCTCCCTTTAGAAAGTGGTTCAACTCACCTGTTCCTCCATCAAATCTCTCCAGGTCAGATATAGCTCTCCTCAGGTCCTGCGATGTCGCCGTTCTAACCTTCAGCCATTCCAGCGTCGTCGCATGTGCTGACGCTAACGTCTCCGTAGGTAGCGGAGGAAAGTCCCTCGCTAATGCTTCTGCCAACGTAGGAAACGCTGCCGGTGCCGCTGGTGCCGCAATCGGTTGCGCTACCTGTGCTGTAGGCGGTACTGGTGGTGGTGGACGTACTGGCGGTTGACCTACTCCGTTCGGCATCCTGTTTTTTTATTTATCTCCACGACGTGAAAAGAAAGAAGAAGAAAAAAAAATAAAAACGAAAAGACAACTACAACAGTAAACTCTTTAAGATTCCCGGGTTTCGGCACCACTTACGTCGGTTCGAACTCGGAAAGATAAAAAAAAGAAAGAAAGAAGAGGTTTGAAATGAAACGCGTGGTTGCTCAAATAAGACTGACTTTATTCTCTCCGTAATGCTATATATATAGCATTACGGTTTGTTTACAACTATTGTCTAGGATTAACTCTCATATAAACTTACATCTAACCATAACTTATACATCTGCACACATACGAAACTTGGTTATTTTGACTCAGGAGACCTCAAAACATGTAGTTTCGTTGAAAATTCAGATTTGAAAATTTTCACGATTGTAATACTTACCCTTACTATATATTGCATATATAGGTAAGTGAAAGTAAAAAAATATAAAAACTCAATTTTTGCTGAAAGTATTTTTTCGTTGAATTTTGTATTTATTAATTGAAAATGAATCTAAGATCATAATGAAAACAATTTTCTGTAATGCATTTTTATTACATTTTTACTAGAAATCATGTTACAAAACCATTATCCAAACCGAGGTTCTTTACGGAAGCGAAACGTGGCAACTTACATTGAGGAATGAGCAATGTCTTACGGTTTTTGAAAATAAAGCTTTGGGTAGAATATTCGGACGAAAGATGAGTCATCATTGGTGAGTCGCCAAATTTTGTGATCTGTACCCGATTAATATAATCAAGTTGACTATATCACAAATAAAAGCAGGCATGTAAAATTTTTGGGCTTAATAATGAAAGAATTCCTAAAAATAAAAGGTTAACATGGATTGTACCAATGGCGGATCCGGGTATTAATTTTGGGCGTAGAGAGGAACTTCAGCCCGACAGCCTTTTTTGTATGTAAATATAATGATAATTACTTTACAATCAAAGGAAAAAAAATAACTACCTATAAGAAATGGTGTTTAAGTGATTTTTGAAGTCCTATTGAATGTAATTAACGAACAGTAATATATTTTTTTGGAATATATGGATACATTTTACCATTTCGGGAGGAGGGCTTTAGCCTCCCCTCCCCCCGTAAATCCGCTTGTGCGTTGTAACGGCCGATAAGCGTCCTATTGGGTAGACCGAAGCGGAGGTGGGAAGGTTGTGTTAAAGTCTCCTATACACAGAATGCGATAAGATATTCCTTATGGCGATAAGATATTCGATATCGTCGCCAATACATTACTATGTATAGCATTATACCAGTAACACAGAGCGTGATAACACCTAGTGATACCTATAAAGGGATATCGTATCGCCGAGACATAAAGCATTCTGTGTGTAGGAGCCTTTAGGCAGATCTGGCTGGGCAGTATTTGGGTGGTGGTGGTGAAGACAATGATGTAGGTATCGGCATCGAACCTTCTGGTTCCCTAAGCCTTTAATAATTGTTATTCTTTGAAATAATCAAAATATGCAGTTATATGTATTAACTTTTATTTATTTTTTTTTTTGTTATTTATCGTTCATTATTTTATCAATATGTATAATATATTTTACTTTACCAGTATATATAATATAGTTTTTTGTATTTCTATCAGTTTAGTTTTGGTGCTGACGTTTCAACCCAAACATGTGCATCATGAGAGATATAATCTGTTTTGGTGTTTCAAGTATCTGGAAAGAAAGCAGAATGAATTGTAGAAGAAGATTGCGAATAAGCTGAGTGAGAGCGATATAGACTTTGATATTTATCATCTATAATATGTAGAACAGTCGACTAACTTCCTTCAATAATTCATTAAATCATTGGGACCATCTATCTACAACAATAATACACGTTGTCGCTGAAATCCACCATATCAGAGCTATGAATTCTTCGTACATTGACAACACCATCTCATAACACACATCAAGAAAAAGAAGTCATCGTGACCCATTTCAAGCTCTACACCGCTTGTACTGAGCTTATTCACCATCTTCTTCTACAACTCATTCTGCTTTCTCTCCAGTACTTGAAACACCAAAACAGATTATATCTCTGATTGTATTAAAAAAAATTTAGCCCTGATGAAGACCCCCATGTTTGGGTTGAAACATCGGCACTAATAAAAACTTTATAATGACTGCGTCCTGAATATTTATTACCCATGATACGTAGAACAGTCGACTAACTTCCTTCAATAATTTAACAGTTATTATATCGTTTACTCTGTTCATACTTATTTCATTTCTTACTAGTCATTTTTCACTTCCTGCAATAGATTGTAACTTGTATATAGTATCTTGTATTAGTTCAATATTACGTTTAAAAAAAACCTGTACCACTACAACCCATGAAGGGTCTTGGGTTCAGAACTTTGTAAGGAAGCACTGTTTCTTGGTCATGCAAGGAGGTGATTTGACCGAAATCATGCTCAACCACCAGATTTTTCCCCTTAATCAATTATTTAATTAAGGGTGCCCACTTTATAGAGGCCTCCTGAACCTAGGTTCAATCCACAGCCAACAAGACAGAATAAATAAATTATTTGTCATCATTTGGGATGCGAATCTGCAACCTTGAGCACTAGAAGTCAGTGTCATATATCTCTCAACCTTACACTAATTTCATATATATTTTTTTTATATCTTATTTGTTTTGTCATAATGAAGACTTGTGATGTAGGTAGGTATCATTAGTTTCCATATCACTGTGCATTTGTTTGTATTTATCACCAAATGCCTAAACTATAAGATAAGGTAGTTAGTCAATTATTTTTTTAAAAAATGTAATTTAAAATCTGAGCCTTGTATATAGCATATATGTTTTGTTTGTTTGTGCTATTGAGAATACATTAATTTTCTGTCAGACTGCTTTATGCTAAAAGATAATATTGTTACAGAATCCTTCCTGCTGGCGGGGTCGTCCAAAAGTTTCGGAATGGTGAGGAAGAGATGCGGCCTAACAGATGAACCACCACCCAACAGAGCGAACACGACGGAGAGGCTCGTCCAGCTGAGGGCTGAAATGAGGAGGTCCCACTCAGTACAGGGCTCACCGATAGACGCTTACCTTATAACTGGGAGTGATGCTCACCAGGTAATTAATTAAAAATTATGTTTATTTAACATATCTTTCAATACCTATAATAATATATAAAACTGAAAAGTTAGTTTGTTTAAATGCATTAAGGTAAGAGAACCAGTGTTGGATATAGCTAAGGGAATTTTTTGGTTTATGCTACTATAATTATTATAGTTATTAACTTCTCCGTTAGACGTTCTGTAGAGTCTTGTTTTTCTATTTAACACTTTAAAATTGAAAGAATATTCAGTTATGCAGGTATAATCTCCATTTTTAAAAAAACACCTTTTTTTCATTAGTGATGGATAACCTGAAATTCAATTGTTCTAGTATTGGACAGGGAGTCAGTACCAGTTATGGGTATACCTCGGAAAAATTCTAAAATCTTTATTTAACTATAAAGATAGCGAAAAAGATTATACAACATAAATGTTCAACTTACTGTTAGTAGGAAGGTATGAAACACACTGATCTCAAGAGCACTATAGAAACAACAATGATAAGCATTTTAAAATGTTCTTTTAAGTTTATTGTAACTTTATTTATACATTTGTCAATAGAGGGCATTGTTCTTCAATCTAGAAAAAAAATGGGAATTTCAAATTAACAAGGAAGCTTATTATTTATATTTAAAGTCTAATCTGTCCATGTGCTCTCTGTCCATAAGTGGTGTGTTCCCCCTAATTTAAAGTTCAATTTGAAAAAAAGGCTTGAGTGTTAAATTAAAAAGGTTTTATAGTCCAAGAGCCGAATTGACTTATTTTAAGAAAACTTTTAGTCATATACCGCTATTATATTCATCCTCATCATTCAATCTGCATTAACTACCGATTCGAAATGGCGCTTGATGAAAGGGTATTATCAGAAATATGTAAAAATTACTTTATTTGAAAATGATTTTTTCAATTCAACATAGAACAACACATCCATCAGATGTCAAATACATGTCTCCCGAAGCATGGAGGGGGCATTAATCCAGCATATAAAATATAAAATTATACCATTTCGACCTAAGTTTTAGACATTCATTTAGGTTTGTCGTCTAAAATTTTCAAGACTAATTCTAGAGGTAGTAATAATTAAATTTATTTCAGGAAGTTTTGGTTAACATAAACAAAAACTAACTTTAACTATTAATTGTAATAATTTCATCGGTTACCTCTATCTACTAAACTCTCGACTGAACTGCTGATTGCCAGCCTGGTTATCTTAAATACTATGCCAAAGATTCAAGATGAGATTCTATCTTTCTCTTGAATCTCATTTGTTAATTACAGCTTGAAACAATGGCATTTCTTATTGAACAACTTTCAATATTCAAAACTATTATAAAGTTAAATTTAACAAATTATTATTAGATTATTACTCAAAATTAAATTGCAAAACCACCACAATATTTATCTAAGCTTTCCTATTATTTGTTTATATCATAATTTATTATTTGTCCTTCAGTATCCCAGAATGAAAATCAATTTTTCATTTAATTTTGTTGCAAATGCTTCGACAATAATCATTTAGAATGAATCATGTACATCATTAAGAGGGGTTAAAGAAGCTATTAAAGAAATTTCAGACTCTATTGAGTTGGTAGAATCATTGTTTTAGGCATATTTAAAAAAAAATCTGATAGAGATATATTAAAAATATATATATTTTGTTTCATATTAAGCAAAAACTACTTAATATCGATATTACTATATGATGAACTCTATAACTATCATTAATTAAAGCAAGATTTTATCCATAGTGATAATATCAAGATTAATTTTCCAGAACTGCTACAAAATAAAAATTGACTGAACCAGGTGGGAATTGAACCCACACTGCTCCTATCAGGGTACTCTGGAACCTTGCTACAACATGCTTGTCCAAACATGGTATCTCATAGAGATGTACAATCTCTTTTTGGATGTACTCTACAATCGCAATAAAATTTGCGAGATTAAAGATTTTGTATAAAATCTTATAAAAATAATGTTTTCTGTCATAATATTAGTTATATCAAAAATGTATTTTTTGTTGCTGTATTTTTGTAATTTATACTTTCTTTATTTTTGAAAACATTGGTTTATTTTTATTTTGCCATAGAATGAATTCGTAGCAGACAAAGATCGAAGACTGGAATACATATCTGGATTTACAGGAGATATCGGAAGTGCCGTTATAACCTTGGACAAGGCAGCGCTTTGGACCATCGACCTTTATATTAGCCAAGCTAATGAGGAGATTCCATGCGATTGGTTACTGATGAACCAATCTGTAAGTTGAGAAACTGTAATATTTATTTTAATTATTAATTATTTATTTGAAAAACAGTACTTTCTTTACTTAACTAGAGTTAATTTTATTAGTTAAAAGTTAATCACATTAACAATGGGGAATCATCTTCAGTTTAAGAACATTTTTCTAATTTGTGCTGATATACAAGTCCCTCCAGATTGTTCTTCAAATCTTGATAAACCTTCTTATAATCTCACAGAAACTAAATTACCTCTGTCACCTATTTCTATTAGAAATCCATAGGCTCCTGTTTACTTTCCCCACTTTGATTACTTTTTTACAGAACTGAGATGTATTGGAGTGTCGCTGGAATCTTGAGGCAAAACTAAAATGTTTGGTTGAAGAGAAGAATGGTTGGGACGATCAGTCAAAAAAATGTAAAAATAGATTAGTTATATTTATTTTTATTATTATTTTTGATGACGTTTCAGTCCTAAGTTCAGGCCTTCATCAGTGCTAAGAAAAATATCTGGTGTGTCCACTCACTCAACTTTCCTATCTATTTCAGAAACGTTTTTAAAAATTTACATATGTTCATAATGAAACAAAAAAGAGTTGAACTAGATACATTTTCCTGAAAATTGATCAAACATTAGACTTGAGTACGATTAATTTGATAAACTAAAGCAATGTAAACCGGCTTAAGGTAGATCAGTGTAAAAATTTCAATACTTCCTAATATTGTTGATCAAAAACTTTTTGCCATAGCTTTTTTTTTTTTTTTTTTTTTTTTTTTTTTTTTTAATGTTGGCTTTAAGCACGTCGACCCCTTTGGGTCCATTGTGCGCCAATATTCGCTAGGTCGTCTTATTCAAAACGTTAGTCCTGTCGCTTCCGCGTATCTCAGTAGGCTGGTTGGGTTAACCGACTCAAATCTACTGGGGAGATCCATCTGTTCCTCCCCAAATAACGCCAGTCTCAGCCTTGTAAACTTGTCACATCTGCATATGATGTGAAAAGCTGTTTCATTCTCCTCCTGACAGAATCTGCATAGCGGATTCGTCATTACTCGGAGATTGAACATATGATTATTTAACTTACAGTGACCTGTGTAGATCGCTGTGAGTTTTTTAAGAGCTGCTCTGTCCATGTTCAGTAGCTGTTCACTTCTTTTTTTACATGGGCCTTTAAGGAACAGCTTCGAGTGTCTCTGTTTCTTGTCGGTCCAGTAATTCCTAAATTTGTTCCCATAGATCTCCCTGATCCTGCCCTTGGCAGTACTAAGGCTGATTCCACAGACAGGCTCGGGAGTTATAGGAATAGTATCTGAGCCCAACCTGGCTTGCTCATCAGCCATCTCGTTGCCCGGTATGCCAGAATGGCCTGGCACCTACTCCACTGCAACTCTGTTGTGCTCAGTTAGCTCGTTAAGTGCTCTATTGCATTCCTTAACGACCTTTGAATAAGCATAATAATTGTCAAGAGCACCTATTGCTGCCTGACTGTCAGTAAAGATGGTGATCTTTTTCTCAGTCACCAATTTTGCCATAGCTTAGTATTGTCAAACAATAATTTCTGTTAATAGTAGAGGAAATAGTGAAGATTGTGCGATGCGAGCAACAGATTTTATTACTTTCACTTAGTCATTTTTATTCTCTCATTCACCCCTTTCTGACACCAGGATATGAAACCGTAATCTTACATTGGAAATTGCATAGCTGTAACTTCGTTAATAGTTGCCCAAAATGAACGATTTTTATATGGCTTTGTAGGGAATTTCATTAACTTTCAAACGACAGGCTAAACGGCGTATTTTTTTTTGAAAAACATGTTTTTCATTTATTGCGCATGGAGCACTGAATTTCTGTCACAGGCATCAGTAGTCAAAACCCTACAAAATAAAAAAAGAAGCAACAAAATCGGTTCAGTAGTTCCCGAGAAAATCTTGGCACAGACAGACAGACCAATGGCTAAAAATGTGTTTTTCGGACTCAGGGGGCTCTGAAATGTATAGATCTGTCGAAAACCGCATGTCGGAAATTTGACCCGATTACAATACTTTCCTTACCCAGTATAGGTAGGAAAGTAAAAACAGGTAACAATAAGTATGAGAAACTATTAACATTAAAAAGAAAATGTAGAAATACTCGAAAAAATGTAGTAGGTGGAATAAGATAAAGTAGCTAAAATAAACTTAAAGTAAAATAACATAGGTAGAATAAAGTTAAAGGGAATATAAAATAACAATAACAAAATTAGGGATAAAAAGTAGCGGAAGTAAAGTTAGGATATATAACAAAATGACAAATTACTTTGTACAAATCATGTTCAAGATCGCAAGGGATGCCTATATCTCCCCTTTTTAAAGAGTTGAAGTGGCTTTTTATTCTTCCTACTGTTGTGTTTCCTAGCATTGTATTGCTCTTCCAAGTCATCCAATCTTGTCATTCCTTTTCTATTTCCGAGCTATTCAATTTAAATTCTATGTTTGTTTCCTTAACTTTCGCTCTTTGTTTCCAGATTTACACACAACGGCCCACCGAACCGCAGCTTTCAACAGATCTTTCATTATTCGATTCTCGTCCCAATGAAACTCCATCCCTTCCTGTATCTGGCACTCCAATACCTTTCACACCTCACTTCCTACCCATGCAGTTCCCGAAAAATTTTAAATAGCTGTTTCAGTAAATATGTATGTAAATTATTAGTTTGGTTTTAATTATTTTTTTTTTTTTTGTTTAAATTTATTAATGTTAGACATTAACTTATATTTTTTTATTATTCCTATTTGTATATTATGTTAGTCCTTTTTATATAATCTAAAGCCCACAATTCTGTTATTATATTTTATGCTGATGGGACTTGTCCTAGAATAAATAAATAAAATTATTATTATGGCCCTTACCATATTTATAAATTAGATCTTTCGAATTTCCTATAAAGTATATATCAATCAATTTGATTTAATTTTTGCCAAACTAGACTTCCTTATTGAATCTATGTGTGAATTAAAACCAAATATATTAAAACTTTAACACTTTGAAGAATCATTTCTATTTCACAGAACATTAAAGGAGTGCTGGCCTTAGACGTATGGTACTTGTGAGCTATGACATCAACTTTCCCTAAAATTTAGATTTATTTCTTAAACTGTTTTATATTACAGTATTATTTGAGTTTTATTTCGTTCTATATGTCTGTAATCCAGTTGCTTTATTAATAGGCTAAAATTAATTATTCTCATACCCTTTGTAATTTATAATTTTATTTCTAATGCGTGGCGGTCGCCCTCTTCCAAGTTGGCGCTCTCACTCACCCCCTCCCTCCTAGGGCAATTGTCCCAGTTGCCTGGTTCTAAGGCCAGCACTGCATAAAAGGAGTCTATTGAGAAAATTAAATCTAATCGACTAAATAAAGACTTATCAGGAAATTCAAAAGATATAATTGAAACATTTATCATTTTTTATTCTTTGAAATGAATATTTTTCAAAACTAATGAGATATCAGGTTCCAGTGGCAGAATGGTTGGCTGGTGAAGTTCAAAGTGGCCGTCGAGTTGGAGCAGACTCTAAGTTAATATCAAACAGCCAGTGGGAGATTTTGGCGAAGCAGTTGTGGGACGTTTCGCTATATTTCATTCCTATAAAGAATAATTTAGTCGATATTAACTGGAGCCCGAAACCAAATCATACCCATCATGAGGCAATCGTACACCCGATCGAATATGCTGGTAATAATGTTTATAGTAATCACATTATGTATATTTTAATCGAGTACTTACATGGAAAAACAAATCGTATCAATTTGAGGTCCAATAGGATTGACATTGCACTTTTAAAATAATAAAAAAAGTTTCACATTGAGCTAAAACTTGAAATAACAATGAATCTTGGCGGTGAGATGAGGTCTGGTTGGATGGCTTGCGTCGTATATGGCTGCCAAACCCGATGCTATCAAACATCTTATAAAAGCTAAGCACCCTACATTCATAAACCTGCATTTATAAAAGCGAATAAAATGCATTTTAAACTCAATATTTCTACACTTCTTTTTTTTATATATAATCTATGAAGAAGAGTTATATAGGTTCTTAGGTTTTTATAATTGAAGGCACCTCTACCATGGTAAATATTTATTTACGATTTTTCGGGTTTCTGACAATTTATTTTGTTATTGTTACGTTACAATTATTTTAAGATGTTATTAAGAATAATTCTATTTATATGTGTACACAATTTATATAATATTTTAATACATGTATCTGATAGTTGGTATCTATTGTATATTATCAAAAAACTTTCTCAACAACTATCTCATTGTCATATCGAAATGTGGATTCTGTAGTTACAATTAATGGAAAGTGCCATTTGATTTGATTTTTTTTTTGTAATTTTGTATTTATATAAAATTGACTTCTGTTACTACTTTGTATACTGTATAATTCAGTATACTGTATAATCACAATTGCAGTTGCTATTAACAGTTAAATGACACATATCTCTTTGTATTTTGTCAAACCAGACTAATGGGCTTAATTTCTGTAGCTGTTATTATTCTAAGGGGACTTTAGTCCTAAAATAAAATTATGTTTGAAACTAAAATACATTATTTTATAAAAATAATTAAGATGGGTGTTGTTTTCACTGTCATATTGCCTCTGGATATCTGAGTTGGATCTTTGTGCTAATCCCTATTTTAGCTATGTCCATACCATATACGGCTACCAAACATGATGCCATCAAACATCTTAAAAAAGCTAAGCACCCTGCCTTTATAAACCTGGATTTATAAAAGCTAATGAAATGCATTTTAAACTAAATATTTCTATTCAGAAATGAAAGGGAGAGAGAAAAAACGGATACATTTGCTGGAAACACCATTTTACACTAAAAGATGTCATATACCCGACGGTATGAGCTAGGCACTGGCAGGGCATGCCTAGTAGGGCCTCCTCTCTCGCTAAGTACCTCCGTTCCCACCACTTTTCTTTAACACTAATTATCTGAAAAATACTTTATGTGTTTTTATTATTATAACCTAATCTTCACCCACAAAAAGCAATTGTTGCATGTACCCTCTGTTCCTCCCTTAAGTATATTAAAAAACTGAAGTGATTGTATATCATAAAGAAGAACTTACATTTTAGAAACTGGGTTAAGATTAGGATAAGACTGCCTGCGTTATTCTTTAATATTTGTACTGTTCCCAAAATATTACATGAAAATTTGGCCAAAGCATTAGAAATTGAAGGAGTCAATATTACCTTAGTGCATGCCAATATCATAAAAGTGCTGGTCCCCTCATCGGTAACATTACAGAGAATGATAAACTGTCTGGAAAGCTTTTGCCGAATGTGGAATCTGCATATGAACTTTGCCAAATTAAAAAAAAAAAAATTTCAGCAATAGAGCCAGACAATCCAAATTTTGGAGGTGAAAAGCTTTAGAAAAAATTCAGTTAAGGTAGTGAACGATTATAAATATCTGGGTGTAAAAAGCATTTCAAGATTGGCGTTGAGGAATCAATTTTCAGAAAGAGTCGATCATCCCAAGTTTGGCATAATTTCATGGCTAACAAAAATATCCCTTATATATTAGAAGTATATAAGTCAGCAATTCGAGTGGAGGTTAGTTAATTCGAGACAGGCTTGGGGTTTGATCCAAATCCAAATGATATTACATAAAAAACTTTTCCCAAGATATTTTACTACATTACCAGTCTCATGTCTAGCAATGACGAGTCGAATCCCGTCTGGGCAAGTTGAAATTTATTTCATGGCACATCTACAAAGCGAATCTCAAACTTCCTATTCTGGTCAGAATAGGTTTGGTTGTAACTTTAGAACAATTCTTCCATATGCCAGAAATGGTAGGGTAGAGAGAAATCAAAAGAGAAAAAAAAGGTATCGCATCATTATAAGGTTAAACTCTAAAATTACATTTTGATGAACAATTATGTAAGCTTACTAATATTAATATTTTAATTCTATCTTTAAGTTTTTTGTTTTAATTATGCCTCTCTTCCTCAGCTTCCGCCATTCAATTTCTTATTTCCAGTATGCAAGAGCATACATTTAAATGTGTCGCATCCTTGAGTGCTCCCGCATTGCATAGATTACAGTTTGCCACTCCTATTTTGTGAAGATGTTTCTTCAGGTAGTCAGGCCCAGTGACCATGCGGAATTTCGCTACTACATCTTTTCTCAACAGATCAACTAGTAACCTTTCTTCTTCAATTAGCAATTTGCTCCATTGCTTCACAATTGTATTTATTTTTAGAGATTTTAGGAATGCAACCTGTTTCGCCTTTTTTATTTTTTTCCTAGCCCTTTGGAATGAAATCTGCCTTTTTTCCTGCTCCAGGGATCCAGGATTTAATTTTGGGGGGGGGGGGCTTCAGCCCGAAAGCTTTTTTCTTTCATAAAAATAACGATAATTACATTGGAAAAAAAGAAAGAAACTAACTACCTATATGAGAAATGGTGTTTAAGTGATTCCTAAAGCTCTTTTAAATATAATTACACGAACAATAATACCTTAAGAGATAATTTTTTAATATATTTTTTTTTATATAACATGGTTATATTTTACTATTTTGAGGAGGCTTCAGCCCGAATGCCCTCCCCCTCCCTCCCGTAGATCCGCTCGTGGCCTTCTCTAATACTGTTTCTGCTTCATTGCCGTGGATACCACAATAGGTTGGTATCTATTGCAAGATTAAATTCTATCTTCAAGTGTAGTTTTTGAATTTCAAAGAGGATATTAAAGGTCTTTAATATTTTCATTCAAATTCAAGTCTTCCTTACTATTATTAATATTTTAAATTTTATAATTTCAGAAGTATTTGAATTTGTTTTATTAATGACTTTAAAACTTCTTTAAGGTGTACATTGGTATCATAAAGTGGCGATGGTAAGAGATGCCATGAAAATAGAAGGATGTGATTCGCTAGTTGTGACTGCTTTGGATGAAATCGCATGGCTCCTCAATATTAGAGCAAGAGACATTCCATATTATCCCGTTTTAAGTTCTTACGTTATTTTGACAAAAGATCAAATTTACCTTTTTGCGCATACTCGAAAGATAGGTACTGCTGTTAAAGATCATCTTCGAATAGAAGGATGCTTTGCATCTAACTGTGTAAGGTATTTAAATTCAAGTAGCACATTTATTAATGATATATTTTTATTCTAATGTAGTAGGAATAGTAGAAGTTGGTTGGGGCTCAGAGATAAGATTACTTACAAATAATAATGTTTCGGCCTAAGTTAACACTTGCTTTCAATAATAAGTTAACATTTGGAGGCCTGGTGAAGGCCTAAAACTTTAGCTGAAACATCGATACACAATAAAATAAGGCTTCTTTTAAAACTTCATTTTAGGTTTTAATAATAAATAATTAAGTATTAAGACAAAGTGAATTTAGTGCAAATGATTTTATTTTTATATTAATATGTTTCTTCCCTTTAAAATGGCCCAAAGGCTGAAACGTTGAATATAAAGTAGAACTATTTGGACCGAATGTGTGTTTTTATTATTACAAGTTAAGTGAAGTCCTAACCAACAATATTGAAATAAATATATAAATTGTAAATTAATAGGGTGTATAAAAAAATGACTGTTTTTCAACCAAATATGTGTGTTATTATTTCTTTGATATAAAATACAATTAGTACTCAAAGTATAGTCCATTGTTATCTACTGTCATTAGCCATCTGCTAGCCAATTGCTCGATCACACACTAATACTATTGTTTGGGATGGCTGTCAAAGAACTGTTGGACCGCAATTTCAACTCCCACAAAACTATCAAATTTTTTCCCTTGAAGAAAATGGGCCATGGATCTGAATAAGTAGTAATCTGATGGTGCGAGGTCTGGACTATATAGCGGATGAGGCAGGAGCTCGAACCCATGAAGTTCTTTAAACTTTTCTTCATAAATTTCTAATCTCTTAGCTGATTGCTGAGAAGTGAGTTCATGAGGGACCAATCTATTGCTCTTTTTCATCTTCCCCATGGAGAGTAGATGGCGCCTAACAGTATCTTTTGACATATCACACTCCCTGGCAAGTTTGGTAATACTTGTGTATGGATTTGATTCAACAGTTTGCTGCAGAAACTCATCATTATCCATTAATGGTAGCCGGGAGCTCTTCTTCCTTTCCAACGCCATTAAATGTTTCAAACCAACATCATGCAGTCCACTGGTCAAGGACACCTCCTCCTTCATATTTAATAATTTCACAAGTTGCTTCAGCGGCTGTGAAATTTTTTTCCAGTAATGCCTTAAAATTACGAGAATTTCGTAGGACACTGTCATGTTTCTTCTTTGAAACAAATAACTAAGCTGAGGCTTTTTTTCAATAAGTCGAACGGGATGAAACAACCATAGAGAATGCTCTAAAGAAATTATTAAATATTAAATAAGATTAAAATATTTACAGTCCTTTGAAATCTTGAATTTGATAAAACGGCTTTTTTTTATACACCCTATTATATCATATAGATTACTTATAAAAAATATTTGTATATTAAATAGTAATAATTTTGTATTTTTATGCTATTCAAAGACTGCGGCCATATGATTCAATTCTGGACGATATAGCAACAATGGCACAGAAGTGGAAGACAGCCTGCCTCCCAGGTGAACATCTACTAACTCCTGGCGTCAGCAGAGCAGTATTCTTTACAGTAAGGAATATTACTGTTGTTATATATATTACTTTAATAATATTTCTTATTAGGCATAGTAAATAACCACTATATTACTTCCTTAATATTTCCTCACTTTAATTATTGCTGTATGGTATATGGAGGCATCTCCGAAGATTTCGAGGCGAAACTAAAACGTTTGATAAATAGCCTTGTACGATTCATATTCGGGATTTCAAGGGATGGCTCTATTTCCTGTCATTATGATGAGCTGAAATGGCTTTATTCTTCATACCGACATAAGTATTTCTTAGCATCCTTCCAAATCATCCAATCCTACGGTCCTTCATACATCTCCAAGCTCCTTCAATTTAAATCCTCAGTTCGCTCCCGCAATACTCGTTCCCGGTCTTCTGATTTATACATAAGGGCCCACCGAGCCGCTGCTTTTTACAGATCATTCATTATTCCATCCACATCCCTATGGAATTCTATCCCATCCTACATCCGTCGCTCCAATACCCTTCTCACCTTTAAATTCCGCCTGTTCAATCATCTCTTATCCGTTCAGTTCTCATAAAATTGTAAATAGGTATATAAATAGTTAGTTTGTTTTATGGGTGATAAATATTCAGGACACAGTCTTTTTTAATTTTTTTTATTTTTGCTAACGTTTCAACCCAAACATGTGGGTCATCTTCAGGGTTGAAAATGTTTTTTTAAAATTACAATTAGAGATATAATAGCATATGACCGCAAATTATAAATAATAAACTATAGTGATTGATGGCACATTAATCTTAACTAATATTGTAATACACATATTAAAATTAAATATTAAAATGGTTATACAAACTAAAAATAAAAAATGATGTATATAATCCATTTATATAAATTTATAATATTTTCTCTTACTAACCGTGGTTTGAGCTCTGAGGTTGTTAAAGTACTGTCACTTGTTTGGTAGGTAAGTAAAAAGGTCAGGGGTGGAGGATTTCCCAGTTGTACTTTTTCAGATAGCAAATGGTAGGTAACCAAGGTTAGAGGGGAAGGGAGGGTAACATTTATGTTTGTAGAATATACATAATTTGCTGACAAATATTTCAGACGTGTACAATATTTGAGTTATTTGAGTTACTATTGACTAGTATTGAAATGAGCATAAGCAAAAGGTGCCAATTAATATAAATATAGCTTAGTTTGATAGCAAGTATACAAGGGTTAGATGAATAATTTTTATAATAAAGACAATTTCAATGTATGCAAATGATACTTAGCGGTCGTATACTATTATATCTCTGATTGTAATTTTAAAAAACATTTTCAGCCCTTAAGATGACCCACATGTTTGGGTTGAAACGTTGGCAAAAATAAAAAAATTTAAAAAAGACTGAGTCCTGAATATTTATCACCCATGATATGTAGAACAGTCGACTAACTTCCGTCAAGAATTTAGTTTGTTTTAAATACTTTTATTTATTTCTTTTTTTAATTTATGACTTAAGTTAAATAATATTATTTTCTTTTATTTATTCATTATATAAATTCGTTTATTTTGTAATTATTCTCTGAGGCTCCAAAGTCCATATTTCTATCTTTGTACATTATTATAAAGGGACTTGTTCGAGAATAAATAAAGCATTATTATTATTATTATAAGAACAAAAATATTTCATAACATATTATAAAATATTTCAGTGAATTATATCAGAATGCAAATAAACTAAAGAATCTTGGTTAACTTTTTACATTTAATTAAATTTATTTTTCTGTACCACTGATGATTAAATTTATGAAACATTGTCTTTTTGGTTATTTATAAGCATTTTTGAGAATTTACAATGGTTTTCATAAATCACTGTTTTCAAAAAAGATATAAAAAAATTATAGGTTCCACCTGAGAAACGAAGGACTCTAGTCTCTCCAATAGCGAGGATGAAAGCTGAAAAAAATGAAGTTGAACGTAAGGGAATGCATACTGCTCACTTAAAAGATGCTGTAGCTTTCTGCGAAGCAATGTCGTATATTGAAAAGATGGTAAGTCGTACCAATTGGTCTCTATCAATTAATATTTAAAAATTCAAATGATAAATCAGCATCTACAATATGAAATTGTGCCACCGAATTCAATTTTATGTTATCATTACTCAAATTCTATGATAGATATATACGTTTTCACTGCACTGGCAGCTACTTATATTTATTACTACTATTTCTGAAAAGTGATTTCTCAACGCCAATCTTGCAATACTTTTTACACCCAGGTATTTATATTTGTTCACTACCTCAACTGGATTTTTTCCAAAGCTCCACCTCCCAAATTTGGATTGTCTGGTTCTATTGCTGAAAAGTTTTTTTTTTTTATTTGGCGAAGTTCATATGCAGATTCCACATTCGGCAATAGCTCTCCAGACTGTTTTTACACACTTTTTTTACAACACTTTTATGTTGTTGGCATGCACTAAGCTAATATTTACTCCTTCAATTTCTAATGCTTCAGCCAAATTTTCATGTAATATTTTAGGCACATCACAAATATAAAAGAACAACACAGACAGTCTTATCCTAATCTTAACACAGTCTGTAAAATGTAAGTTCTTCTTTATAACATCGACTGATATATGTAAGCCCCCAACAGTGGACTGCCACCTTAACAACTGTATTTGTGATTGAGGAAAAGCATCTAGAAATCATTGGTGTGTATTAATATTTATTTCTGAACTAAAAATTGTTTCAGTTTTTACTTTTATGTTTATTTATTATTAAACTCATTTTGGCAGAATAAAAACTATTTACAACTTTTTTGAAAAAAAAAAAATTAAGTATAATCTATAAATGTATAATAACATGAATAGATGTTATTCGTTCTTAAGGAATTTGAGAGATAAAAATGGTGAATAGAATCAAGTTTCTGAAATAAACATTACACATCCTAAATCACTAATGATTTCTAGAGCAATACTTTTCCCCACCCAATCAGTTGAGACACATGAAGGGACTTTTAATCCTAGTTGCAGCTCTCTTCCAAGCTTCTTTTGGCCAATCACTTGGTAATATGTTCACTTTATTCTTATAATAAGACCCATTTAAAAAATAAAATAATATTAGAAGGTTATATATTATAGTTCTATTATATTTACAATTATTTATGATAAAAAGAAATGAAGAGTTATTGACAGTATTATTACAATAAAACTTCAACCACAATTGGTTTAAATTATTCCGATACTCAATAAAGAATGGCATATCAAGCTAAGATAAGATGGCTGTCCAATGTTGGAGTGCTTACATTTATCAGTTGATGTGATAGTAGCTGTCACTGCAGCAACAACTAAAATACCTATCACAGAATTTGAGTAATAATACCATAAGATTCAATTCAGTGCTGCAATTTTATACTGCAGATACCGATTTATCGTTTAGATAACGTAATGTCCCCAGACTTATTTGGTACAATATAACTCCGGAGCCGATTAAGTATCAGTCATGAAATTTGTGCCATAACAGAATTGTAGAAAAAATACCCATCAGTAATCCAGTTTTTATTTTGGTTCCATATCTAAAAAATTATAAGTTACAGACATTTTCCCAAAACATGTTTTCAATCGAAAAGCAAATTGAAAATGGCTGCTGAAAAAAACTGTGATCTTTAAAATCTTTTTAACTATGGTTTTGAACTCTCAAATAAATCTGGAATAACTGGTAAAAAAAAAATTATAAAAATCCAAAATGTCGAGCAACATGGAATGGGTAATTCCATATGTATTGACCCACAGGATTGAAAAACTCTTTGACAACACAGAGTGAAATTTTTGAGGGATACGCGGACTATATTTTTTTATAAATTAGGAATCTGTTTCTGAAGATCCACTAAGTTAATTAATGATCCTTGGCCTAGTCTCAGGTTGTCTACATGTGTTTGTCGCAGAGGTGGTCAGCTGGTAGATGTAAGAGTGTGAAACAGCAGGTTTTTTTTTAATATCAAAGACTTTCAATGAATATGATTAAGCCTCTCGGTAATGAAGTCTGCAACCATTCGAAGTTTGAGGGTGATAATTAATTAATCAATTTTTGTTCTTTGTAATGTAATCGGTCTTAAACTATGACTCAGTAACAGAAATTTACTATAAGTTTAGTAGTAGTGATAGAAAAAATATATACTTGTAAAGTTTTAGAGCACATAGTGCAGAAACATTTTCATTCCCTTAGGACAAGAATTTTTTTCCCTTTAGCTACATTAAAGAAAAATCAGATTATAAGAAATTATATTTTTTTATATTGTAGATCAATAAAGGAGAAGAAATGGACGAAATTGAAATAGCAGAGCTGTTGGACGAAGCTAGAAGAGCTCAATTGAATAATGAAGGTATCAGTTTCAAGACAATTGTAGCCTTTGGGAAAAATGGGGCTTTCCCTCACTACGAACCGAAAAACACGACTGTCCTAATGGTAGATAAAACTAATCTACTACTTATTGACTCAGGAGCTCAATATTTAGGTAAGCATCTAATCATTTTATTTAAGATTCATCTTCCAAGGTTAAATTCTCAATTATCATTTTTTATTTATTGAAGTGTTTTTCTTCATAAATTGAAGTTTCCCTCAGCCAGACTCCTACATCAGTCGGTCCTTCCACTTTTACCTGACACGAGGTCTTCCTCTCCTTCTTCTACCCTCGGCCTCCCACACAAATGCCATTTTTTGGGAAGTAGTTTGCTATTCATCCTTTTCATATGCCCATACCACTGTAATCTTCTTTCTAGCTATGGAGATGGATTTTTGGAGGAGTTCGGCAAGAGTCTCAAGGATGCAAAGAATTAGAAACGAGATCATTATAGAAAGGATGGAGGTTAAGAATAATATACTAGAAATAATGAAAGAAAGAATTGTCATTTTAAAAAATAAAATTATTGATAACTAAATTACAATTTCATTTGCTAATTGTTATTTCATATTTGAATCGCTTATTTCCAAAATAAACCCTAATAATTTTTTTTTTTAAATAAATATAAATATTAATTCCTATGTTCTTTTATGATTTTCTGTCCTGATGATGCCTGAATTGGTGAAATGTTGACATTTTTTTTTTTTGCCTGTATTTTGGATACATAAGAGGCTATGTGGTTGGAATTTTTCTAATTATAACCAAAAAATTTTGATAACTTTTTTCTTCCCAAATCATATACCATCACCATTTTTTCTCTTCAAACTGAACCCCTATCAACCATTTTTTGTTCCAAAACGAACCTTAAAATTTAATTTATTCTAAAAGCAGTAAAAATATAAACATTGATTGTTCACACCTATTGTTTTTTTTTTTTATTTTCATCTTCTAACATTTCACTATAATATGATATTATTTACTCCTTGTCCTTGTTAATTAACACGATATCTCAGTCCACAAAATTGTATATTTTTTTTCTATAGAACTGTTCACTTTTAAAAATTCTCTATAATGCGTGCTGTCTTGTTTTGGAATTTCTTACCCACTTCCATACGCAAAACCTCATCTTTAACTTCATGTAAATACCTATTGTTTTTATATCTCTTCACCTATCAATCTTCCAAATATATATATATAAGAATTAAATATTCGTATTTCAGTGTTGCCAGTCTTATTCTAAAATTATTTCACTGTTATTGTTTATATTGTTTACCTGTACAAAAATGTAAACACAGGAACAATTATTTATCTGTAATTTCTTATGTTTATCTATGCTAGACTATAAATTTAATTATAGTGCTACATAACTTTTGTAATCTAATTATTATTTGCCTGCCACTGTGTGTGAGACAAATCTAAATGTTACTAGAAACGTAATTTAATTGATTTTAGGATATTGAGTTGGTAAAGAAGGAGATTTTGCACTCTTATTGAACCATTAGGCCCAGGTTAAAATAAAAGCTATATGTCAAAATTCAAGTTCTTGTTTAGACAAACCAGTAACTGTTGCCCTAGTGATGACCCACATGCTTAGGTCAAAACATTGGCAAGCCTAATAAACTATATAATAATAATAGTAGTTGGAGGTTTAACGAATCCGAAGGTTCGATGCCGAAACCACCAATCGCTTATTACAGACTTCTCTCCACTGGTTGCCAGCCAAACCCAGTTCCTTCAGATTGGCTTTAATGCAATCTTCCCACCTTCGATTCGTCTACCCTTTGCACGTTTACCATTCAGTACTGCAAATATTAACCTGTTAGGAATTCTTTCATTTACAAGCCCATTGTAAAATAAACTATATACAGATTGCAAATTCTGATCATTTACCATCCTCATAAAAAAATCAATCTATTATATAACATTCAAATAAATCTTTTATTCTTGTTTATTTTAGAAGGCACAACGGACGTTTCAAGGACTTTCCATTTTGGCAGGCCAACGGCAGAGCAGAAAGAAATGTACACAAGGGTACTGATGGGCCTCATAGATTTGGCCTCTTTAACTTTTCCAGCCTCTGTTACTCTTAGCGAAATTGACGTGATGGCAAGAGCTCCGCTGTGGTCCGTGGGTCAGGATTATAACCACGGGACTGGACATGGTATTGGAGCATTCCTTTCTGTCCACGAAGGTAATTTCAGTATGTTAAGGGTTTATAAAATAGTTCTATTAAAAAATAATGAATACTTCTCTGTAATGTTAATTTTGAGTAATAATTTTGAAGGTATCGTTGATCATAAAAAAAATTTTTGAAGTTGGTAGGAGGGTATAGTCATCATTGATAGAATAAAACATGAAAATAACAAGCTTTATTTTATTGTGTACCGATATTTTGGTAAAAAATAAGATATGAAAAACAATATAACAAAAAAAGAAGAAAAAAACAATATGAATATTAATATGATGAAATAAATTTGTGTGATAAAAGTAATAAAAGTTGTGAGATTGACGAAGGCATGTACAAATGATCCTGAATATAAAGTCCTTCATCCTGGCTTGCGGCTTCGAGATGGATTCTTGTCAATGCTATTTAACTTACTGTGGTAGGTGATAAGAATGTCATGTGAAAACGGGGAAGTATATATCGGAATAAATCATAAAAAATTTTTATATGCAGATGATCTAGCTTTCCTTCAAAGCAATCAAGGGAATACTTGCTAAGACTGTTATAAAAGAAGTAGAGGAAATTGGCTTATAAGTAAATGAAGATAAAACTAAATATTTGATAGTAAGCTGAAGATTCCAACCCAACAACAGTATTTCTGTAGAAAGGAAATCGTTCATGAGAGTAGACAAATCCAATACCTCCTCACCACTATAACCTCAATGAATGACAAGCAATCAACTTATAACCATTGCAAACAGAGCTTTCTTCTGCCTCTCAAAGGTATTGATAGCACAACAAATCTACAATTAAGGGTGCACAATATAATAATAAAACCAGTTCCGAGAAGTTGCTGCAAGGCCTGGAACACTAACCACCACCCTAGAAAAAAGTGTTAAAAGATTTAAGATACCATACAATAACCTGAGCAATCTGGGACCAAAGTTCTAACACACGGAGCAGAAGGACCAATGAAGAACTGCTTAGAGAAACTGGTCAATCATTATCTCATGATATGAAGGCAAGGAGGTTATAATAATTATTACAATAAATTAAATATATGATATTAAGGCATAATAATATTTATAAAAAAATATATAATAAAATACAAAACTCTGTATTATGAGAGAATCAAGGACAGTTATTCAATATATGAAAATATGATAAATCAAATAAGCATATGTAAGTAACGAATAATTAATGAAGTATACAATATTTTAAATATAATAAATTATAAATTAAAGATGATGCAATAATGAAAAAAAAATTAGTTATATAAGTCAAAAGAATAAGTAGTAAAATAATAAATAAGCGGTGATGACCAATAAGATAATAAAACAATATTAGTTTTTGCTCCCATTAATTAATTTAATTATTTATTGTTTCTTCAACTTTTAATACCAATTTTATATCCTCACTCATTTGATTTTTATTTTCATTTCTTTCTTTTTTTTCAGGTCCAATACTAGTTTCTAGACATCCTACCTTACAAGAAGTCTATAAAGAAGGATATTTTTTTTCAGATGGTAAGATAATACAATTATCTTGTGGAATAAAAGGAATTTTAATATTCAAGACACAATGGTCCTGAATAATTATATAATTAAATGCAAAAAATAATCTGAAAACAATTTTAGTTTTTTTTTTTATGTGTATGAAAAAAATACAATGAGTAGTTGCTATGTTAACTCTATTGTATGATAAAATGCAATTATTTCCATAAAAAATGGTTTTATGTCTTCTAGACCAAAATATTATACTGTTTTCATTTATACAAACAGGTGATGTTTCAGATGTGTCTATATTTAATATATATCTTATATGATACTTAAAACTTTGTTTGTATAGCTATAAACAGTAGAATTTTATAGTTCAAGGAGACAAAAACGTTAAGTTAAAACTATTCTCGTGAGCCTTTCTGGCCAAATATCAATGAATTGTTATAGTGATTTGTTTTTTGTGATTTAATATTCTTGTCATGATTTTTTTTTAAAATTTCACTTTGTATTAACTATATGCGATTCCATGATAAAGAGTTACAAATATTTAAACATCACTTAATATCTTTCAGAACCCGGCTACTACAAAGAGGACCATTATGGTATCCGATTGGAAAACATATTAGAAGTGATTTCCGTCAATAAGGTATGATAAATTGCATGGTTATTTATACATATGTTTGAACTTTGTTATTACCAAGTAACCATTTATGTTTATTAATAATAATATTTATGTTATAATTTATAACTTTTTTATTTTTAATGTATGTACTAATTTATGAGTGTTGCTCGACTTTGATGGGTGGGTACAAGATCTCATGACAGTAAATGGAATTCTGAGAATGGCCAAAAATAGACAATCTGTATACGAGTATAACCTCATTTTATTTATACCACAAATAAAGACTTCCAAAAACTCCCAACTGGCCCTTTTTAGTTAAAATTGTGGCATTAATTAGTTTTATTTCATCTCTGCTTTCAAATTCTGCTTACTACGGTTAGTTCAGGTTTGGGTGCCTTTCTAGATCATTTGATCACCTCCTACTTTCAGACTCACTTGGCCATTTTCAGAATATTATCTACAGTGATCACCCAACATTCTGGAGTAAAACTTGTTAAGTAGTAACCTAGTATATTATAAAGCTGAAGAGTTTGTTTGAGCTAATTTCATGAAATACTGGTTCGATTTGATTAAATTTAGATACAGTGTTTTTGGGGAAGGCTTTAGGCTTTATAATATTACGCTATAATCCTTAACAGGAATGATAATCAAAAAGATCAATCAACCAGTGAAACTTTAGGCATTAGTGCTAGCACAGATTATCTATAAATTTTATTTGCAATCATGATAAATAAATTGCAGGGATCAACTTTTAAGTATATTGAAATCGACTAAAGAGAAGGCTATTTTTCCCATGGACAATAATATATTGTAATGTAAATATTACATATTGATTTTAAATAGTGGCACGAAGGCAGTGATGTCACGAATTACTGTCAAAAATGGACAAAAAGGCAGAGAAAGAGAGATGGAAGGGGAAGCAAGAGCCATATATTAGATCAGAAGGTAGCCAGCCGGCTACCTCCAGTAAAGAGGATCGAGAGAAAGAGAGAGCGACAGGTGACTAATAAGTAGTGAGTGGCAATACAGGAAAGTAGAAGAACAAAAGAAAACATTGTAGAAGTTTAATACAACAATTGGAGGAAGGAAGGAAATGGATTTAAGAATAGAACTGGAACCTATAATAATGGACTGAGTTTTCATCGCGTTTAGATTTAAATTACTCAGACTTGCCCAGGCATATCAATATAAATATCATATATATCAGGCTGTGGAGAAAATCAGACACATGATGGAGAATCAACTATGAAAGTAAATCAATTTTGTCATGAGTTAAATTAAGTACTCATTCATTAGGGGAACTAATAAATTCTAATTTCAATTTACTCTTTGTAGCTTTCATGATTTTTTAAATGATTTCGATTAAAAAAAGTTAATTAATTACTTGATTTTTATGTGAATAATTTTATTATTTTCTAATTGCAGACTGATGCTGTTGAAAAGTACCTAGCCTTCAAAACAGTAACTTTAATTCCATTCGAGCCGAAGTTGATCAATCTAAAAATGTTGAGTCCTAATCAGGTATGACTCCTTATTTATTTTAAATTTAATTTAAAAAAACTCCCTCATATCGTCCATCTCCTTCAGCAGTTTCTCTTATTTAATTTAATTCTCGAAAAATTTCTAGCCTGTAGTAAAAGACTACCTATTTCAACTAAAGTCTATACTGTATTTGCGATGTTCAACTATGACAATGAATAGTAGTATTAGTTCACAAGCATAACTAACATGGTGGCTAGGTGAAGATGACTGGTGGCTGGGAGTGTATGAATAGGGGTGAGTCAAAAATAAGTGTAAAAGTAACGTGTATCAGAAATTTGGGAAGGAAAGAATTGAGAATTGCAAAGTGGATAGGTCAAAGATGGGTTTGAAAGTGAGAAAATAAAAGTTGGGAGTTCTCATATTAAGGGCTAATAAAATACCAAACCAAGTTATCCCTTAAATTTAAACCTCTCTTCTATATCTAATTTGGTTTGATTTCCTTTAGCACTTGTGTATGAGTGTGCCTAATTTTGAAAAAACAAATAATAAAATAATAGTTTATTTATGTGATGAAAGTGGGTGGGTTAAGTCAGACGAGAGGGAGAAAATGAAAGTTCAAAAGTGTTAGTTCTTCATCTTCAGATGCTAATAGAATATTAAACCAATTGAAGGAAGTTTATCGACTGTTCTACATATCATGGGTGATAAATATTCAGGACGCGGTCATTATAAAGTTATTATTGGTGCTGACGTTTCAACCCATCATCAGGCTCTGAATTAGTGTTTGAAGTATCTGGAGAGAGAGCAAAATTAGTTATAGAAGATGGCGAATAAGCTGAGTACGAGCGGTGTAGAGCTTGATATGTGCCAGGATGACATGTTTCTCTTGATGTGTGTTGTGAGATAGTGTTGTCAGCTCACGAAGAATTCATATCTCTGATGTGGTGGATTTCAGCGACAACATGTATTCTTGATGTGATAGATGGCCCCAGTGATTAATGAATGTGTCATCATAGCCCATCTCAAGTTTTACACCGCTCGCACTCGGCTTATTCGCCATCTTCTTTTACAACTCATTCTGCTCTCCAGGTACTTCAAACACCAATTCACAGCCCTGATGATGACCCCCAGTCATTATAAAAACTTTATAATTATAATTATAATGACTGACTGCGTCCTGAATATTTATCACCCATATCAAACCAAGCTATCATTTAAATGTAAACCTCTCTTCCATATCTGACTTGGTTTGATTTCCTTTAGCACTTGTGTATGAGATGCCTAAGTATGAAAAAACAAATAATAAAATAATAGTTTACATATGGGATGGAATGTTTGAAAGATAACAAGGGTGAGATATGGAAAGAGAGGTGAAAGTAAGAGGTTGTGAAGAAAATCGAAAGGTGGTAGAAGAGGGTCAAAAACAAGTGAAAGTTTGAGGTCAATGTGTAAGATTTGCAAAGTGGATGAGTCAAAGGTGAGTTTTAAAATATGGGTTGAAAGTAAGAGTTTGAAAATCTAGGAACTTCATCTTCAGTTTATACCAAAACAATGTATACCTTACTATATATTGCTTGGTTCAATTTCTTTAAACTTTTCAATATTAGATATGAATGAATAAAAGTGAAATAATTTATTTATGAGATAGAAAATAAAAAAGGTTTGAAAAGCAACAATAGCAATTTGTTGAGCGAAAGATATTATGAAGTTCAAAACATTTCCATTCGATGTCTATGAGACAACTTTTGTGCTTGTCACTTCCCTGTCTAATCAACCTTCGAATTTTTTACTTCATTACTTGATATTTTCAACTGGGACACATTCTTAACACAAATACAAAATACAATTAAAGTATTTAATAATTAAAAAAACATACTAAGACAAAGGCAGTAAGCTGTAAAATCGACCAATTCCGTACATTCCGTATTTGTTCTTAGGCATGTCTGACTTTATTAGCTTTAATAATTATATGTTATTATGAAACTGATTATTTTAAATTTATTTTTATTATAATATGAGGAGTGGCTATTAAATAATGAAATTGATTTTATTTTGATTTCATAAGTATTTATTATTATCACCTTTAATTACACCCCTCCTCTATCCTTACAACGCTCCATGCGAATCTTCCATTGAATGGAACAGTACTGAAAGTCTTCTGTCGACTCCTTCAGGACATGTGCCATAGCTTTAACGAATTCAAATCTCAGTAAATAAGGCGAATGGTCTAGCAGTGGGATGCTGTACTTGGCTAGAAACCTCATGATAGACAGTGCAGAATGAGCTGGCGCATTGTCTTAGTGAAGAACCTATGACTTGTTCTTATTTAGGGCTTAGAGGCGTGAACCCTCGAGGTCATCAACACTATAATAAATTATGGAGAAAAAAAAATCTTAGCTTTAAGAAAATGTATTACCGACCATACTTTAACTTCATCATTATTCAAAACTACTGATAATTAATACGCTTTCCTGGAAAAATCATATATCCAACATCTCCCGCTGTACCATAACCCACCTTAAAACGTCTAAATTACTCCTGTCACCTATTTCCCCTTGAAAGCCGTAGGCTCCTAGTAACTTCCTTAATTTTTTCCTACTTTGACTATTGTTGTACGGTATATGGGGGTGTCTCTGGAGATCTCGAGGCGAAATTAAAATGTTTGATAAGTTGCTTTGTACGATTCATCTTCGGGATCCCAAGGGACGCCTCTGTTTCCCGTTTTTATGCAGAGTTGAAAAGGCTTTATCCTTCCTACCGTCGTAAGTGTTTCCTAGCATCCTTCCTCTTTCAAGGCATCCAATCCCACCGCCCTTCATACATCTTCGAGCCCCTTCAATTCAAATCCTGTGTTCGTTCCTGCAATACTCGTTCTCTTCTGATTTATACATAAGGGCACACCGAACTGCTACTTTCAACAGATCGTTCATTATCCGATCCTCATCCCAATGGAACTCCATCCCTCCCCACATCCGTCAATCCAAAACCCTTCCTACCTTTAAATCCCGCCTGTTTAATCATTTCTTATCCATCCAGTCCTCATAAAATTGTAAATATGTATATAAATTATTAGATCGTTCTTAATTATTTTTACTTCATGTTTATTTTCAATTTTTTATTTTTTATTATTAACTGATTTAAATTAGAAAGTAACTTATAATTTCTTTTATTATTTTTTTTTATTTTGACTATTTAATTAAACTATACTCTTGCTTATGTATCTCTGAGGCTCCTTAGTCCACATTTTTTCCTTTCTGTATTATTCTAAAGGGACTCTTCCCAGAATAAATAAAGTATTATTATTATTATTATTATTATTATTACTTAATTTCTATAACTATTTTAGGTAAAATGGCTGAATGATTACTACATGAGAATAAGTAATGAAGTTGGCGCTGAGCTAAAACGACAAGGGCGAATGGATGCTTTCCATTGGATGATATCTAAGGTTAAAATGATCCCTGAAAGAGCTTATGCTTACGGTTCAGCATCAAGAGTTCACAACAAGCTGCTGTGCATATCTTCAATGTTACTAGCTTCTTTAATTGTATTCTTACAACGTACTTTTTTATGTGACTGAAGACTATTCTTTTAATGGTTGTGGAGTTACACAACTAAGACAATATGGCTAGTCAAAAATGAGGAAAAAAATCACTAACTTATAAACAAAATGAGATTAAAAAATATTTAATTTTATTTACTTAATGATTGTAAAAATAGTAATGTTGTATTAAGGCTAATTTCCATTCATTGCCAACGCGGCCTTATTTTCATGTGATATCAGGAACATGGTAGATTACAAGAACATTCTAAATTGATGATTTTAGAAACAAACATGATAATTTGGTGAGAACATAATTGATTGTGCTTAGAAATTAATCTAAAGTCCATTTAAACTGATTATTTTCCTTTTAAATTAAAATTTTCAAACAAATGAATTCCCCCTATTCCGTAAGATTCATTGAATTTCAAAGTAAAAGGATTAGCCTTATAAGGTTATACTTTTATCATTTTTATATGTTATATAATTTTTATTACAACTATTATTATGCATGATAGAATGTGACAATTATTGATGATGCTAAAGAATGTGATAGACTATGTTAAGTGTTTTAGATTGTAATAAGTTTGCTATTAGTCATATTTAATTGTATCGCCATTTCTTATAATTTATTGGGCATTGATTGTTGTTTCAGCTTTTTATAATCGAAGTTGCTTATTTTAATCCTCTGTCAGTCACAATGAAAAATCTCATTATAACTGAAAGAATGAGTGATCTGAATTTTGAAAACTTTCATTATAATGAAGTGTAAATTCAAAATCAAGGGTATACACTGGACAGAATTTTTTTTTTGAAATTTAAACAATATCTCTTGGACTGAAAAATATGCCAGCAACTCAACACAGTTGAGCAGCCATGCAATATTATTGTATTTTTCTCTCTACAATTTATAAATATTTTAATATGGAATACAATTTTTTATAACTAATTTTCGGCAAACCTTTTGTGTTATATCGTGTTTCATTTTCTTTCAAATCATTTATATAATTAACTCCCGTATCATCCTGGCCATACTTCCATGTGTAAAATTATTGGAAAGGTTAATTAATTTATTATAATCAAATTTGATAAAAGGGAAAAAACGTTCTATGATTTTTTATTCATATGAAAAAAAAATTATTTGAAAAGTATAATGATTATTGTTAAATGTAACATATAAAGTCAATATCAGAACTTTTTAACAAAAAATTAATATTAGCTAACATTTTATTAGTAAAAGAATAAAGACCATCCACTATGGAAAAGGAAAGTTGGTTAGTATATTGCTCAGAAAGAATTACACAAACTTTATTACATAATTATATAATTTTTTTAGACAAAATAAAATTGGGTGCTAGATTGAATTATCAATTTTGCTACTTCTATACAAGAACGAATCTGTTCTTCAATCCTTTATTAAAATTCGAAGGCGAATCCTTTTAAAATGCTTAGTTTACATTAAACTAAGGCTAGTGCCCAAAAGTTTCTTTTGGTATTGAACGATTGTTGAGGAATATTTATTTTGTTGAATATTGTAGGTTTTAGGACATTTAAACATTCTACTGATTAAAATAATTCGTATAGGCAGCATGTTGACTGACAATATAGCTATTATTGAGACGGCCTCCCATCTAAATACCTATCGCGAGTGACGGTGCTTAGTGCTTTGATTATTTGTTTCAATCGCCTTAATTTGCTCAGCTTATAAAATGAGTAAAAAGTATAAATCAACAATTTTTAATACAATTCATTTTTCAATTAAATTAATAATAATAAAAGCATCGGGTGTGTAGTTACTTTTTTTCAAGATAGCAATTTTTGCACCTTCTGCAGCTTTCCCCTGAATCCCTGGTAGTGTACTTGCCGTTTTTTTAAATCCTTTTGAGCGAGTGGGATTCAAAAGCAGCGATAAAATTAAAGCTAATTAATGCACTGGTTTTAACCAGCAGGGAATTTGTGAAAGTCATAAATCCTAATCTAAATAAAGGGAAGTTACACTGTCTTACACAATCTTCTTCTATTCTCAGAAGCCCAGTGATAGCAAGATCTTGGCCCACTCGTGATAGAGGAGTGACACTTGTACAGTGGTACTTCAAGTTTTATTCGCCAAAAAAGATTATGATATAATAATAAACACGCAAAAAAGTTCTAAATTTTCTTAATGCATATTTGCAAAATTATATGAGGGATGGATCTACATTATGAGAGTGTAGACATGTTTATCCCATGGCCTGTCAACACTTAACTTATATTATTATCATTTATTATATTATATATAATATATATTATATAACACTTTTCTTATATTTATTAGCTTAGAATAATGTTTCCAACTTCAAAACTTCCATTATACAAATATTTTTCCTTTTTTTCTCTTGCACTGGCTTCTCTAAACAGAATTATTTAATTTAAAATGTATTTTATTAGCTTTTATAAATGGATATTTACAAAGTAGAGCTGAGAGACACTTTGATAGCAATGTTTTTAGCAGTGCTATACAGAATTATTTAATTTAAAATGTATTTTATTAGCTTTTATAAATGGATATTTACAAAGTAGAGCTGTGGTATACACGTTAACATCCTCTGTCTCCACTACACTTCCATTAGATGCACTGTTGTTTCAAGCTTTTAGCTAAATACAGAGTGCAGCTCAAACTTATGTGAATTTTTTTCCCATGCTAGTACCCAATTAATCAAAAAGTAAACCAAAGAGATAAGTTAATCACAATATTTCTCTTTAAGCTTCTATAAGACAACTGCTTAACTGAAAATACTTTATTGAAGTTTTAAATCTAAAAGATTGTTTCATCTTTATAAGATTGATGGATCTTTAAAAAAAAAACACTGAAATTTCGACTACCTAAGAGATTAGAGACTCGGAAAATACTAGGAATTATGAATAGGAAGAAAAGTATCTGTAATATGAGACAAACATAACTATATGATCATGAAGATTTATTGTACCCAACATTTGATTATGTTGGTGCTGCAAATTCTATCGAACATGACAGATTGAATATTTATAAAAAGAGATTAAATAAATACATTAATGCCTTTATAACTAGAGGATATAAAATCCTGTAGTTCTAATTTTGTTTAAAATATTTCAAAAATTATTTTTTGAAATATTTCACTTTTGTACTTAAATATGAACATTTAAATGGTTATGTGACAAAATTCTAATATTTTTTCTTTTATACATTCTTACATTTCCGATTTGTCAGTGACATTTTGTGGTGAAACATTTAAGTAGTAAATTGTTTTGAATCGAATAGTTATTTTTAAAATTCAAATAAAAATAATTACTGCTTGTATATAACTAAAGCTTTAAAATAAAATTAATAAACAAAAAATATTTTAAAAATTTAAAAGGACTTTATCATAGACCACTTTAGAATTGCTTTAAAACAATTATTGTTACGCTTTGATGATTGAAAGAATTTTAATGTTTAAAATAATTATAGCAGGCACAAAGATTTTGGTATAAAAAATAAATAGTAATAATAAAACAACAATCTTGTAAGTTTGAGAAATCAAACTAACAAAAGACTTGAGATATGGAACTGTTTTAAATCATAAGAATTCCTGTTGAAGAAAACAGGAATTTTTCTATGGTAACATTTTTTATTTATAATAGAATAAAGATGTACTTAAATAATATACTTTATAAGTTAGCATATTAAAGAAAAACATAGAAACATTATTTTTTCTTAAAATATGAATTGCTAATAGAAGTTCATATAACCAGTTATTTATTTTTTTAAGATTAATGTGTATTTGGTATTAATTTTTAAAAATTTAAAATATAGCTAAATGTATTTTCATATTTTTGTCAAATATTCGTACCAGAAATCAATGACTTAGATTATGAAGGACTTTAATCTTAATTATCTATTAGAAAAAAAATGAATAAATAAAACACTATCACATCTGGGTCATCCTCAAATAAACTAACCCCTTTTCTCTCTTTTTTTATAATTTTAATTGGCAACAGAGTAAACCAGAAAAATTAAATTTTCAAAAACTTCCCAAAAAGTTCAAAATTACCTTTAAAAGTACCTGAGAAGGTCCAGCTGAAATGTTGAAATTTTATTGATTCTCTATGAATTTTCAAAAATGGCTAACTGATAGTTCAGTTTAAAAAAGTGGCAAGTCACGAAAAAATTGTTTTTTTTTCTTTTTTAATGTTTGAATATTGCCTGCTTTAACGATCTCAACGTTTCCATTCTAGTTAGAAAAAAAATAGATTTGAATGTACCTCTAGAACAAACATCCGTACCCTTCCGTATATCAGAAATTGTGAGACATAGAAAAAAAAGGAATTAAACATCGTATATGTACATTTATTTTTATTTTTTTATTGCAATGTTTTAGTACACAAAAAAAGCTAAAAATTCTCAAAGATTATTCCAGATCGTGACGCTTGTGAATTTTTCAAGAAGACAAACGTTTTTATAATTTTACTTTTTCATATTTCTTGAACAAATTATAATGAAAAATGTTGATTGTATTGAAACAGACAGATATTTTATTTGAGGATGAACCATATGATTACAAATGTTCTTTTAACATGTTGACTGCCAAATACATGCTCTCTTGAATTTATTCTATGTAAATATGAATATATAACCTCAGAGAAGAGAACGAAAAATCAAATTTGGCTTATATAAACAGAAAATGTATTCATTATAAGAGTTTCAAAGCACAAAATAAGCCAATATAATTAGTATGATTAAAAAAAAAAAAACTGATTCTATCTAATTTTTTTATTAATATGTACTAAAATTAGAATTTTCAGTAATAAAATATGATCAAACTAAAATGGCTTTTTAGGCTGGCATCCTGGAAAATATTAAGGTAGTCAATTTGTCTAGTAGAGAATTAAATTTTTCGAATAGACGCATTAATAATTAAAGCATGGTATGAAGACTTTACTTTTAAATTCAATGCGTAAATCCTTTCATATATTTCTCATGCCCAACTTTGCATAGTAATTATTTTGACTTATTCAATATTATAATAGTTTTATGAATGTTATATGTTGTTATGTGATTGTGAAATATTTAGTTTTTAAAAATGTACAGAACTTGTTGTATACTGCCATTTTTTTTGCCTGTTGTAATATTAGTTTGTAAGTGTTGCCTAGAAACCATTATTATAATCCTATTTTATGTAAAATTATTTCCAAGTATATTTAAAAATTTAAATACTTCATTCCATTTATGTTGATTGATCTCAATGTATCCATTTAGTTGTAATTTTATAAAAATAATCCATACGTATCGCAGATGTCTATTTGTCATGTGTAAAATAATATTGAATAAAATGCATAACAAAATAAAATGTTGCTTTATTTATCTAAATGTTCTGCTGATATTTATCATTATCATATTATGGTAGAATCATTTGTAACAAGAGAAGTATGTTCTCATTATTTTTTGCCCTTAGGTCATGAATTACAGGGACATTTTAATTCAGAATAGCAATACTAATCAAATTAAATTATTAAATATAATAGAAAAACATAGTATAAAATATATTAGAGTAATAGAATGTACATTCTTTCTTTTAAGGAGTAAAAATTCAAACCTATTTCAAAATTTTATAGTAGATAATCTAATTCTGCTATAAATTTTATAAATATAAAAAATAATTAAGGGTATAAAATAGTAAGAAGATTATTTAAGATTAAAAGATCAAAACTTTAAATGGTAACGGAATTATGGCTATACACTATGTTCCTCGCAGATAGGTTTAAAATATGTTATGGATAGACTTTCAGGGTGAAGCCTTCCCAAAATGGAAAAATCTTTTGTTTTTTCATTGGTTTATATTTGTTTAGATAGATAGAAAAAAAAAATTTATTCTGGGACTAAGTCCTTTCAGAATAACAATAATGTACAAAATAATAGAATATTACTGGCCTAAATGTTTGAAACAATAAATAAAATTGATAAAATAAAATAAAAAGTTAAGAAAACCTTGGGTGCACAATCTATATACAATACAGATAAAACTTATGTACAGAGCATTTAAAATTATAAACAAAACAATTAAAACTATGAACGAATCACTTGAACTATGAACAAAACTATATATAAGGGTTGAACAACATAAACATCCACTTTGAGAAATGAAGAACGAAAAAGAGATAGAATGAGTTCATTTCATAAAAAAAAAAAAAAAAAAAAAAAAAAAAAAACTTGACTTGAATATATATATATATAAACAGTTAATTATAATTGAATAAAAAAAAAAATGTATGTATTGAAATTCCTACGTCGATAGTAAGAAATGCATGTACTATCTCTTACCAAGTATTATGATTATATGATTGCTGCACAATACATATATAATATTAATAGTTAGCTGGTATCTGACTGTTTTTGGAACAGGAATTGGAATAGGAGGTTTTTGAATGTGTATAGGGAAGGGGCATGTCGAATTTTGATCGGGGGGAATTCCAAAAGTTGACAGAGTGGGCTATAAAGGAATTTTGGAATGAGGCAGATCTATGAGAAGGGATGTATAGGTCAGAGGGTCAGGATCTTGTAGTGAAGGAATGGATTGAGGACTTAAATTGGAGAAGGTTGTAGGCATAAGAAGGACGATGATCGGTAATGATTTGATAAAGGAAAGTGCCTAGGAAATATTGTCTTCTTAAGGAGGGGAAGAGCCACCCTAACTCAGTGTAGTGGTGGGAGACACGGGAGCGTCTCGGGGCCCCAATTACAAATCTTACGAAGCTATTCATAAGTCTTTTGAGTCTATCACGCAGTTCCACCGAGAGGCCATCGTACACCACACAGCTGTAGTCAAAGTGGGGAAAGATGAGAGAGAAAACTAGGAGTCTACGGGTATTTTGGGGTAGAAGATGGCGGAAGTGATGGAATAGTTTGAGGGTAGAAATTGCACGGCGAGATATATGAGAGATATGGTGATTCCAGGAAAGGGTTTGATCTATAAGAAAGCCTAAATTTTTAACAAAGGGATAGAAGGTGATGGGGTGGTTGTTTATATAGAGTGAGGGAAAGTTGGTGTGGGATCTAAGGAGGGCTTGAACCAATGAGAATGGCCTGAGTTTTGGCAGCATTTAGCCTTAATCCATTTAAGTTGGCCCAGGCACTAATTCAATCTAAATCTTCTTGAATTTTGGCAAATGCCAATGTGAGTTTATGTGAGTTATCTAAGCTAAATACTTAAACAATTAGTGATGTGAAAAATTGTTTATCATGAGTAGCAGTTGCAACAGTTTCTTCTTATTTCAAAAAACAAATATAACTGTTTCAAAACTTGGCGAGTTACAAAAAAAAAAGCTGTCTTCTGTTAACTTTAAATTGTTTTAAAAATATATGAATATAATTTTTATCTCCAAAGTAATTATCAATTCAATTGTTAAATTAATTCCATATCGTGACATACTTAAAAGATAATAAGTAAATTTATTGATGAAAATAACGAAAAAACAGTAATTAGATAAGAAAATGAGTTGATAAAACTGTTCATTGAATAGAAACTGCATAGCTGTTTATAAGTTCCATCAGTGCAATGACTGGTATTTCATCAAAACAGCTTTTAAAATAATTTTAGGTGCAGTAGAGCTGTTGCAGGAAGCTTTATCAATTAAACAGCTTTCTGTATCTGTTTTGGAAAGCGGTTTAAATTAAACAGATTAAGTGTTTCCCTCTTTTCCCATCAACATCACTGTCTCCATCTACTAAAACTAAAAGTAAGGTGGCTTGGATAAGTTTCTAAACTCACTGCTGAGTTCATCGATGGCTTCATTTGCTCAGTTTGTTAATCGATGAGTTCAGCGCTGATTATAAGAACCTGCCCCTTTCTAATGGAAGGTAATCTTTATATCTGTTTAATCTCGAGTAAAACAGTTTATTGTATATGTTTAATAAAGAAACTGTTTAAATTAAACATATTGCTACTAAACGCTCCACCACTATGAACAATTATATATTATCTTTTAAAAAAACAAAACAAGAAAAGGTCAAACTTTTTCTCTTTGAAAAAAATCATTAATAGACATTTTTTAAAATTCCTCTAGTTCCATGCAATTATAGATACGTGAGGTACTCACAGCTTGTTCAGAAATCATTACCAAATTGAGCCAATCATCTTGAGAAAGAACTCTAACACAGTCAAATTTCTCGTTAATGAATATCTTGATCTGGTTGTCTGCTTCTTTCTTTCTTCATTTTGTGTTGTCCTGACGAAGATCTAAAATGTAGATTAAAATCTTTATCAGAGAAAAACACAATTTCATGTTTCATTATCACATCAAAATGGCATACCTACATAACTTATATTTAAGCATGATAGTATTATTATATGTTGATATGTGAGTGGTCAGAAAATTTAATTCAGGCGTTGTCAGAACAGAAAATATGAAGTGTGTCTATTAAATAATTATACCGTTAAACATTTTCTTTCTACTTTATACATATTTAATTATAATAACCTTCAATATACTCCTCATCTATCTCTAGGATGCTCTATGCAAATATTCTTTTGTTTAAAACAGTATTTCTTTTGTCAGCTTCTTCAGGACATGTTTCGCTTTCTCTTTCATCAAGAACGTGAATGTAGTAATATTGATTAATAGTTTGGCCTACAGAAACCTCGTGAAAATGCGAAATTTCATGAATATCGAAGAAGAGATGGGAAGGGAAGATCGGAGAAGAAGAAACAAGATAACAAACATGCAGACCTAATACTATACATCTCACATTAATATTCCAAAGAAGACAAACAATATAGAAACAGTACATCACTCCAGTATATCAGAATACATGTTAAAGGGAAATCTTTTTCCATTAAAGGTGAAAGGTTGAAGTGTTATTGTTTACCTAAATTTATGAGACTTGTGACTTTTTGTTGGAAATTTGCAATTATTAATTACAATTAATTTATATCTCTTTTTGAGTATTTGCTCTTTTATATTGATGAAAAAGCTATTTAAAAATATTTATGAATTAAATTTATGAACCATAAGATGAATGAATACTATAAAAACAATGAAGGTTTAGATAAATAGAATCAAACTGAAAATTTTCAAAAAACTCAAAACAAATTATAACACAGACATTGTGAAGCAAATCCAGCCAATAATAGATTATGTAAATGGGTGTCAGTTTCCCAAGAACACTAAATTCTGTATGAAATGGAAATTTTGTACTGATTGTATTTGAAATTTAAAAATAATAAAATTGAGATCTGTTTCTAATTCACTAAGTTCTGCCTAGAAACAATCTATAAAAAAAAAAATTACTTAAAAAACAAACCACGGTTTTAAAATAATTTCATATTCTATTTTAAATAATTCATAAAAGATGATCTTGGGAAAGAAACTGTAATAAGTATTAGTAGAAAAAGATCTGATCGGTTGTGTTCTTTGACTATGTGTGCAAGTAGATGCACTGCTATAAACAAATGAAAACTTTAAATTACATGTAAAATCAGATTATGCCTGAAGAGGCGAAAATTTTGATAAATTTGAAATAAAGCAATTATTTATCGAGACTGAAAAGACCTTTTTCTACTACTAATAAATAATAATATATATTTTTTAAATCATGTGTTAAGGTATTGTCTATTTTTCGATACTTTTGTTAATTTAAAAAAAAATTAATTTCAATCCTCAAAGCAATTCAAGCCATATTATTTATATACTGCCATGTCATGACCAAAAATTCCCTTTTTTTCAGGGTATGTATTTGATGTTTTAAATACTGTATTAGTTCCTGAGAAACTATAATACAAAATTAAAAAATGACAAAACCATAGCTCTAAAATGATACCCTGTTTTATAGTCCCCATCCATTTAAAATTTCGTAAATGGCCTCATCTTGTCATAAACTTTTTTATTTATGAACATTCTCGGAAATGAGGCAGTTTGAATATCGAGTTTTAGTAAACTTTGTTAATTTAATGAAGTACTTAAAATGCATGAACAAACATTTGCTTTACACTTGAACCATAAAATAATTTCATTACAAAATCAAGAAAAAAGGTGGCCTACAAAAATATTGCTTAAACTCCAGCCCTAACATGTCTAAATAATGAGGTTTTATAGGCCAAAGGACCCAATATTTTTTTAAGCTACCTTCTTTCTCCATTTTGTGATAAAATTATCTTAAGATTCAGGTAGAAAGCAAACGAAAGTTCATGAGCTCTAAGTACCTCATTAAATTAAGTAATTTTATGAGAAAACTTTATATTTCTGAGAATCTTCATAAATAAAAAAGTTATAAGTTACAATATGATGAAGCCATTCAAACAGTTTTAGAGAGATATTAATAATTTGATAAAAATGGATCTGTATTGCTATCACGGGTGGATCTACGGGGGGCTTTGGGACTAAAGCCCCCTCCCCCAAAATGCTAAAATATAACCATGTTTAATGGTAAAAATATAAAAACATTATCTCTTAAAGTATTATTGTTCGTGTAATTGCATTTTAAAGGACTTTAGGAATCACTTAAACACCATTTCATATAGGTAGTTAGTTTCTTTCTTTTTTTACAAAGTAATTATCGTTTTTTTTATGAAAAAAAAAAGCTTTCGGACTGAAGCCTCCCCCCCAAAAATTAAATCCGGGATCCGCTAGTGATTGCTATAATATACTCTCATTCACAAGCAGCAAATTATTGATTGGTTTAATAGATTACTTAAATTGATTTAGAAATAGAAAATAACTTTATTCTGGGACAAAGTCCCTTTAGAATAACAAAATAGAACATAATTAAAAGACTACATCTGGCCAAAATAAAACAATAATAAAAAAAGAGAAAGTAAAGAAAATATTAGTTAAACCAGCTATATACAAAAAAAAAAACTATATACAAAACACTTAAAACTGTGTACTGTAGAAAAAATTATAATTATACACTTTTGAAAAATAAAATATTAAAAAATACATTGAGTTCTTCTTTAAAATGAGTTTTCTGCTAATAAAGGAAAGACATATTTGACAATATAAAATGTCAGAGTATGTACTGATACTAATTCAGTTTGTATTCACTTAAAAAAATTAAATGAAATATGTTGGTTTTTAATAAAATATATATCCCGAAGGTAATATAGTTGAAAACTAAAATATATCAGCTATAATAGGTTTTTTTTTGTTTGCTACTGTATAAGTGTAACTCTTCGTTTTCTTTTTCCTTTAATTTCATAAAATTGATTATAGGTTAAATTAAAATGAACACTTATAATTTTAGAGTGAATTATTGAGGAAAAGAGCAAAATTTTTAGATTGAAAAAATCCTATAAATAACCAAAAAGTAATTTTTCAATTCAAAGGATCAACTGATTTTTAACTGTTACAGCTTGCATTTCAGTCCTGTAGCAAAAACTTTTTCAACTAATAAAAGTCATTTAAGTAATAGGAGTTTAAATTATATTTAATTAAGTATTAAAATATGTTTATTACCAAATAAATTTGAGAGAACTTTTTGAATACAATGATTTTTTTTCTTTTTCTTCCTTTAATTAAATGTTTCAACAATTTTCATTTTCATTTCATCCAATATGGCTGGTATGAAGTCAGGCATGTGCCTTCTTGATTAAGACATAAGTTTCATCAGGTAGATTAGGAATTATTTAATTCAGCTAAAAAAACGTACAAATAAATAAACTTATATCTATTTCAGTTGCTATTAGTTTTCACAAACAAGACATTTTAATTTATTTTATTTTTTTAAATAATTAATAATTGGCTTTGTTTTATACTCACGATTAATTTGTAACAATTTTTTTCTACTTACCTTAACAACTCATTCTTATATTAATTGTTATATTAAGTTAATATTGTTGAAGGATCCTTTATGCTGTTTTCTCATTATTGTCTCTAAATTTCATATAAATATAAGTAAAATTCTCTTAATTAATCAAATTTTATTAAGAAGTTTATGGACTTTGAACATCAAACATTAATGTTGCTTCATTGAGATTACTTTCAATTATTACCATTGTCATTTTCAAATCTAAAATAAAAGGTTTTGCCAATTGTAACAGAATTAACTTACATTATTCACAATAATATAATTTAAGTTATTCCTTATTTTAACATAAAACTAAATATAAAATAAAGGAAGGAGATGGTCCGGGGTTGCGGTCATAAAAAGGCTAAATATTGGAAAAACTATTTTATTGAACTATTTTAGGCTTTCAATAAAATAGTTTTACCACTATTTAGCCTTTTTATGACCGCAACCCCGGACCATCTCCTTCCTTTATAATGCAACGGTCAACTATTAAATATTCAATTAAATATAAAATAGTTTTCAATATTTTCAATTTTTTCATGACCCCAACCCCAGACCATCTTCTTCCTCAATATTATACAATAGTTAACCATTCTGTACTCAATTAAATTAAATAATTATAAATCTTGGTTTTATCATTTTCATTATTAAGTAAAGGGTAAAGCAATAGGTAAATTCTCATAAACATTGCTTCTTGCTACATTCCTTGTAACATTAATGAAATTATAAAATAATTATTATTCATATGTAACTTCAAAGCAGTAAGTCAACTTTCATAACTGTTAAACAATCCTAGCTTATTACCAATACAAAGTTATATCATATAATTTTATATCAATACAAAGTATACCTTGACATTTAATTAAAAGTCTCCACTATTCCTTAATTCGTCCATTAGTCATTGATCAAGGTATCAGATTTGATTTATATAAAAATATCATAAGCTTTTCTTCAAGAACAGAATAACTGATTCCAGTTTTACCAAACTAACAAAACTTGGTTAATTTATTTTTATTAAGAATTAATAATTAAGAAAACTTTAAATGAATAATTACTATTATATTGAATTATTATTAGTAATTTAATTGGATTAAATTTTCTGTGTTTTCAATTGATATTAACGTTTCAAAGCCCCCCCCCCACAACCAAGTCAAAAAAGTTTAAGCATTTTTCTAAATTACGTTTATCTCTTTAATAGGTGTACCGATTTTGTTGCTCCCTTTTCGTTTTGTTGAGTTCCATTCCTCGTTCCTTGTCTACCAAATCTGGCGCCCAATTCGAAATAGCGGTAGCGAAATAGCTATAGCCGCTAAAATGGCTCTAACCATTTTTAAGACACTTATCTGAAATCTTCGCCTTTAAATTCTTCAAGTTTTCATATAAGTATAACATCCACATAAAAAAAAAAACAAGAAAAAAATAACGATTAGAACATTTATTTGAGCATAACTGAAAATATATTCACCTTATTGTAAATTATGTCCATAATTAAATAAAATATGGTCTAAATCGGACTAATATCAGCAAAAAATGCAGTACTGAACTTTGTATCCAGGTTTTTTAACGTGTTTGTTTTGTACCTTTTTGCAAGTTTTCATGAAAACCCAACCACTTTTCTTTATTTTAACTCAATTACTAAAAACGTTCTGGGCATTTCAGATGCTCATTTTAAATATTGTTAAATGAACTAAATAAACAAATTTTGAAGTAAATTAGAAATAATAAATGAAATATATAGTCCGTAATACAGAACCCTTTTTATTAAATTATTAACATCCGCATGAAACTTCGTATAGCTTTATCTCATCGTAACCTACAAACAATTTACGAAAATTCTCGAAATTGGGCGTTTCCAATCTGGAGATAGACAAATTTTGGCTATTAAATTAGGCAGGGATGCCCATCTCCCCTCCTCCCCAAGATCGATGGCACAAAACCCACCCCTCTCTCCCCAAGATATTTTATTGCCCACCTTTTCTTAAAAACAGAGCAAGCGAAGGTAGAAATCGCAGATCATATACAATCACACTTGCCGCGATATGTTCCATGTTTTCTCTTTGTCCCTTAGTCTGAAACTTTCCATTCCGAAAATTCATAATCCCGTCTAAATGTGCCCCCTCCCCCTCAAAAATTAAAAAACCGTTAAACTATGCCTTCCTCAAAAATTTTGATAACTTGCACGAGCGGATCTACGGGGGAGGGGGGGCTTTCGGGCTGAAGCCCCCCCCCAAAATGGTGAAATATAACCATGTTTTATCGAAAAAAATAATAAAAAAGTATCTCTTAAAGTATTATTGTTCGTTTAATTACATTTAGAAGGTCTTTAGGAATCACTTAAACACCATTTCATATAGGTAGTTAGTTTCTTTCTGTTTTTCCAAAGTAATTATCGTTATTTTTATGGAAAAAAAAGGTTTCGGGCTGAAGCCCCCTCCAAAATTAAATCCTGGATCCGCTAGTGCACCCCTGTAATTAGGTACTAAAACTCCATGATACCCACTTGCTTTCCACTTGAATCGGAAGATAATATTATCAAAAAGTTGAGAAAAAAGGTGACCTACAAAAATATTGGGCTGTTTGGTCTATGTAACCTCGTTATTTAAACATTTTGGATTTGGCGGTCACGCAAACGGACCAATATTTTTATTGGCCACCTTTTTTTTTCGACTTTGTGATCTTATTATCTTAAGATTCAAATGGAAAGCAAATGATTATTCATGAGTTTTTAGTACCTAATTAAATAAACAAAGTTTGCCGATATCTAGATTGAAAACGCCCGGATTCCGAGAATTTCCTTAAATAAAACATTTGTTCATTATGATGAGATGAAGCTATTCACAAAGTTTCAGATAGTTGTTAATAATTTGATTAAAAGAGGTGCCACTGTTCAGACCAATTCAAAAACAAAATATATACATATCAGACTATCCCTTGGTTTTTATTTAATTTTATTTTAAGATGAAGTCTCTGAATATCAGAAATATACAATTACATTATACTTGTTTTATCAAACATTCAATTTTAAGATTATGATTATTTTATCAATAACTAAATTTCATTGATACTATGAAACATTAAATAATCAAACAAAGGCTATATTAAGATTAATAGATATTGAGAAAGTTCTATTGAGATTATAGTGTCTGGTAAATTGATCTTTGAACATGAGGTGTCCCATGCCTCCATGTGTGCTATTGAGTGAGAAAGTGATTCAACAATTGATGGAGGGGGGGACCCCAATATCTTCTGATTGTCCACAGCTCAACTAGTCAGTAGACACAATTCCAGAGGGAAAGAAAGGTTGCAGTTTGTCTTATCAGTGAAGATTTATATTTCTCCAAAATGTAAGTATTCATTTAATATATTTATACTGTTATAATTTAATCTAAATTTTATTTTACATAGTTACTTTTATGATTATTCATGAACATATTTAAAACATTAATAAAGCTCCATTAAATTGTTCATTTAACATTACAATTATTAGTTTCATACTGCTTTTCTGTTTGTTTTTTAATCTAATAATAATAATAACAAATATTAATACTAAAATATATAACTAAACTACAAGTACAATACAACTTTTCAATTATTTTCGATATATACAAAATCAATTAAACATAAAATGTTTTCTATTCTTTAAATGTCTGATTTACAATTTAATTTTAATCTTGCAATTTTAAAGAATACAATATTTTAATAGAGCATGTAAATATTATAGGTATTATTGTTTGAATCGGGTATTTTTTAATTTAAAAAAACAATGATGTAATAATGGATCACACAATAGATGAATGCACTTTGCATTTCATTGGAATAATGAAGGTCAAAAGGGAATTCCTATAGATGAAATGAATCAACAGGTTTTTATTCCTGCTTTCAAAACAATAGCTAATGATTGATAATATAACCTCCTGTTTTATTGTTAAATTAATATTTTTTTTCTGTATAGATGGAGAATGATTCTGTCAATATGTTTTAAAGCTTTATTTAATTGTAGACTTGTAGTTCGAAAATCATGACAAATGTTAACTGATTTTTTAAACTATTATTACTAAATTTTGGTATCGATATGCTTGTCCATTTAAAGTTTAAAATTATTACTCATTTCTGTTTTTATCCTAATTTTGTAGGGAGCGAAATTAGATATATATTATTCATTAATATAATACATCTATTCTCATTGTTGTTGCAAAATAATAAATCCATTTTCAAATTAAAATGTATTTTAAATATTTTGCTGATTTAATGTTTCTAATAATTTTTTAGTTGTTCTTGTTTTGAATACATTTTTTTTTTTGTCTTATGTATTTTATAATACTGTGATATGGTTTTCAAAGGCCTATTACATTTATATTTTTATTTTTTAGTAATCATATGCATATTGTCCTAGGTTAGGGTTAGAATTTATATCAATTTCTTTTCTGTTAATTTTATCATATTTTTTTCAGTGTAATATTATTAAGTATAAATAATATTTTTATGTCATTTTGTCTATTATGTCACTATATTGGTTTATTATTATTTTTATGAAGTCAGAAATTGAGGGATCGTAGGAAAAAAATAGGTGTATTTTTTTAAAATATCTTTATTAGTATCAATACATTCAAAATAAAACCTGCATTATTTCACAGAATTTAATTTTTAAAACAGGAATAGTTATTAAATTTATTTTTACGCACTTTTATTCTCTAAAAGAATGTAGCTTATGTACTGAAACCAATAGTTCAATTTAAAAACAAAAATAACTAAGCTGTTTTTTTTCCTCTGACTCTTCAATTTATATTTTAAGAGTCATTACAGCTTCATTATCTTCAATTTATATTTTGACAGTCATTATAGTATCATTGGGGTATATCTAATTTTGTAAAATATTTCTTCTGTATCTTTTATGATTAATATTTTGGAAAAACGCTATCTTTATTGTTTTATCTTTGTCGTACTCTTATTAATTAGTTTCATATTTTTTTTTTTCATTTATGATATATTCATATGAAATGCTGCTATAATGGATGTTATAATTATGTATGATATTTAATATTAGTATAATGACTGTTGTACATAGGTCGTGAACCTAGAGGTATTATTATTCTGGTAATGTTTACTTATCTGAAGAAACTACACAAGTGCCATAATGACACAGCCGCTTTCACTTTCCTTTTATTTACAATTGTTGGGAAAGTTACTTGCTACATTGAACTTTCTCAGTGACTCAGCAGTGTCATTATTATCTTTAAAAATGCCATATTTTTTGTATAATATATATTGTTAGAGTGAGCATTAATAAAATCAAATACCAGATTTATTTGCAACTGTATATTTAATTAGCATATTTCTTTATGGATTTTAGTTGAAGTTTATTTTAATTTCCTAATATGGTTCTAGAAAATAATGGGAGGCTAGAATTTGAATATATAATGTATTAAAAAATCACTAATTGAGTAATTAAAAATTGTATTATAGATTTTATTTTATATGATTAAGGCCCACTTTGATGGGTGGGCACAAAGATCGCATGATCACATTGTAGCTTGAATTCCGATAATTTCCGAGTGGAGCCGAGTCCACTCGGAAGTAAATGCCTCAAAGCAGGTATCATCTGAAAAAAGACCAGTTGGGATTTTGCCGAAGTCTTAAATTGCGATCTAAATAAAAGAGGTTATAGCCTTTCACACTTTCATCTTTGAGTTTTTTTTTTTTTAATTTTCGGAATAAAATGTTCGGCATTGGTGGCCGAATGGGCTAACGTGTGTGCACAGCACCAACGTTGCGTTGCAACCTGATATATGACTCAAATGATATAAAAAGTCACGAGTTCGCTTCCCGGTACCGGGGTTGTCAGTTAAATCCCCGCCCACACCCCCTAGCTCGGGAAAACCCCGTATAGCCTTTAACGGCTAAGAACGGGAGGACACAACCAAAAAAGAAAATGTTCGGCGGTCTCCGGAACCTTGAAATTAGGCATAGTGAATATTCTTGCCGTTTTCAACGAGCTTGATTCTAAAGCCCCCATATCTCGTTAAGAGTTGATACATCCATAGGACAACTTAAATTAAATATTCATTTCATGCTGTGCGGTGTACCTCAGTGGATAAGACACTGATTTTCCATGCCGAAGGCCCTCGAATCCGGCTGATTGCAGTTAATTATTTGTCCTGTTATGTCAGCCGTGGATCAATCCTGGGGTCAGAAGACTTTCCCATGGCACTCCCAGCCTCTTCAAAGTAGGTACTTTTAATTTAAAAACTAATTTAGGAAAAAAACAGACGGTTGAGCTTGATTTCGGACCAATCACCTCCTTGCATAGCCATTGGTCTCGAAATAGTACTTCTTTACGAAATACTGTACCCAAGATCTACATGGATTGCAGTGATACAGATTTATTTTCTCCCAGAGTAATTACTGTCATTAAAAAAAATAATAATAATAAAATTGAATTTTAAAAAGCTCTCCCATTCCACCACCCCCAAATTAAAATCTGGATCCACCACTGGATTCGTGATATTACTTCATAGTTAAATAAAAATCTGTCTTTTTTATAAATATTTAGCTGAACTTATAGGTATTTTTTATCTTTAGCTGACATCGTTGTTCTGTAGTCGAAATGTGTGAGTGGTGAAGAGAGTACCTGGAATGAGTGGTATAGGTACGTTGTATAAGTCTGCAGTGGGAGTCTTCCGAACTGTTTACCCTTGACGACTGGTACATGTACAGGTGGGTGGAAATAGTATGGCCGCATACTTACCAGAGTGGGAATGTCAAGAATAATTTCACGGGACCCCAGAGGAATAAATTAAGTAGACATGGAAACCTAATGTGCTAGGACGTCCCGTCCTTTACGCTTGACTAAGAAGTCTTATATATATATTTAATACTTATCTAATATTTGCGAGAGGTTTATAATACATAAGAGAGAGTGGAGTAGCTCAGTGAAAGAGCACTGATCTTCCACTGCTTAAAGTCCCAGGTTCAAGACTCGGCTCATGGCAGAAAAATTATTTATTCTGTTTAATCAGCCGTGGGGCGACCCTGGGGCAAAGATACCCTCCTGGGGCAAACCCAGTTTCTATAAAGTCGATGTCCTTAATTCAATAATTGATTAAGGGGAGGGAACCTGGCGGTTGAGCGTGATCTCAGTCAAATCATCTAATTACGCAACCGTTGAGTAAGAAACAATATTTTCCCAAAATAGTACTGAACACAAGGCCCTTCATGGATTGTAGTGGTACAGATTTTTTTGTATGATAAATAAACCATGAAGTTTATTATAATTTTCCTTTTAGCAAAGAAAAAAATCAGAGATTTTAAACCTTACAACTTTCAGGTCAGTAGATGTTCAGATGCCCCAAATCCATGTCATTGGTAAGCTGAAGGAAATTCCTTTGGTCGAGTGTGCCTACAACACGTCCACAGATGTCTACAAGAAGGTGAAGGAGAGCAACGGGTTGCTGGAGTGGACCCTCCAGTCCGCCGAAGGTGCCTTCATGACCGCCCTGGAAGTCGTCGCTCCAGTGGCCAACAAGCTCCAGCAGCCGATCCAAGTAGTTGATGACACTCTGTGCAAGGGTTTGGACGTACTGCAGGAGAAGGTCCCGATCGTCAAGGAACCTCCGGCACAGGTATTACAAATAATTTACTTTTTTTTATTTATTAAACTAGCTTTTTATTTATCCGACCACGCACTGCTGTGGCTTAGCCTGGCAAAATGAAAAAGAAAGAAAATAGAAAGAACATATGAGTAGATTAGTAGCAAAGGACATCTGTCATTTTTAAAAAGTTGGGAAACAAATTTGTCTGTAAAATGGCTTCAATTTAAACTAATTCTAATTGTTTTTTCTCATAATTCAAATTGAACATTCATAATCATCAGAAAAAGTCTGAGTTGAACTTATAAAACTAAATTAATAAAAAAAAACGTATTGACCTACATAAAGAGAATCATATAAATTCTTCAAATGATAATTTCAATTACTGTAGTAATCATAAAATTTTCGATTAAACTATAAAAATAAAAAATGCTTGCCGACGTTCGGTAGTGAGGAAGCAAAAGGAAATGGCCTTTTCTGAAGAGAAAGCATTAAATGTTTAAAACTCAATAACTCTGTAACGAACCGTCCGATTTCGATGATTTTTTTTTATATCGTCAGCTATTCAGAAATCTTTCATATAAATATGGGTATTATCAGTCAATGAATTCGTCGTAACATTTTTCAGCTTGTTTTCGGGAAAGTATGTTATACACATAAATTAAAAGGGTTTCAAGGGGAAGACTTTAGCCAAGTTTCGTTAAAATCGGTAAAACCGTTGTGGCGCTACAGTTTATAGCGACACATTTTTTTGCGGCTTTGAACAGAAAAACATTTACATTTTTTTTTTTTTACATGTATAAAATTATCGTAATACAGAAGTACTATGCCAGAAGCTTTCCCAGGAATGTAACGAACAACTTCCCAAAGTTTCATGGCGATCGGTTGAATGATTTAGTAATGCACTAAGAACAAACAGACGGATAGACAGACATACATTCATTTTTATATATGTAGATTTAGTTTTTTTTATTTATTAAATAATTGGGAATAAATTTTTACTTTCACTTACCTGTATATGTAATATATAGTAAGGGGAAGTATTGCGATCGTGAATAATTTCGAATCTTAAGTTTTCAACGGAAATACATGTTTTAAGGGCATCGAGTCCAAATAACCAAGTCCCGCAAAATGGTCTATGTGCGTGTATGTATGTGAACAGTCTAACTCAAAAACGAAAAGTCGTACGAAAGTGAATTTGCATATTATTGGTTTTGATATGCCAGGGATGTTACATCAAAATCTACTAACCGGAAGAGGCTCTTTAAATTATCGATTTAACACATTTTTACTATTTTCTCATTTATATATATTTGTTTTTTCTGTTGCTTTTTTTTTGTTAATTGAGCAGCTCTTCATCCCCTCCTGATTGAGTGAGAAGATTGAAAATGTATATGTAAATTAAGTTAATGCACAGGCAGATCTACGGGGGGAGGGGGAGAGGAGGGCTTTCGGGCTGAAGCCCCCTCCCCCCCCCCCCAAATGGTAAAATATAACTATGTTTTACAGAAAAAAATATTAAAAAGTAACTCTTAAAGTATTCTTGTTAGTGTTATTACATTTAATAGGACTTCAAGAACCACTTAAACACCATTTTATATAGGTAGTTAATTTCGTTCTTTTTTTTTTGTAATTAATTATTGTTACACGTATATGAAAAAAAATCTTTCTGGCTGAACCCCTCCCCCCTCCCCAAAATTAATACCTGGATCCGCTAGTGAGTTAATGCTAGAGAAATGTTTTTTGTTATCTCAACTTTTTCTCTCCTCCCTTTCTCTCCAATTTGATTTATTAAATTCGTACATAAATTAGACCAAAAAACAAACCACAAAAAACAAGTTCAGCCATTGAATTGATCTCAAAATTATATTCAATTTGCTTCTATAAACATTAATTAAATAAGAAATAATTAAATAATTGTTCTCTAGACAAATATATGGACTAAATTCGACCTCGGTGAAAATATTCTGCCATTACGATATTTTTTTTTCTTAAGATTTATTTATATATTTCATATTAAAATGATCTTACAACATTTTTCATTTCTTGTTCATAATCACCGGTCATTCGATGGAACATAGACGTCATAATTGTTAGAATGACGTGTAAATCGAATTGACGTCATACTATGATAAAAGCAAAATTTGAATTGGATTGGATAGAAGAATTTTACACTGTTTCTTTACTTTTTTAAAATTTATTTTACTTATATAATAATAATTATAATTATTTGTCTATCATATAAAATTGTTTTGTAATTTGTACGTCATTGTTCCACGGGATTCGAATCACAGAGAAAATAAAAAGGCGAGATGTTGAGCTTTGTTTCGGCAAAAACTAAAAACAGGTAAAATTAGTCAGATATTAGAAAATTTAAATGTAGAACCGGTTGTTCTAAAATAAATGCCATTATCTGTTATCGCTCCGAGATAAAAGTAGTCGACGCGTTGATAATTCCGACAACAGCGCCTCTAAAAGAGATAATTTCTGATGGGTCATCCGTTTTCTCAAGATCCCCTAATTAGTGATCATCAGTGATTGCGTAGTCATTAAAATCGAAAGGTGTTAAAATATTATTGCCCTAGTTTAATTTTATTCAATTGTTAATTTTTGTTTCTCAAAAACACATTTGTAGACAATTTTTATTTATTAACTCCTCAATTGTTAAAATACTGAAAGACGAGCTGCGTTTAGACATTTCACAAACTATGGGAAAAATGATCTAACTTAACTAATAGCACATTAGAACTAAGTGCAACTTTTTTTGGTTTATTATTTTCAATAATTAACCATTGTGATCGACCAAAAAATTCAAAAACTTAACCCCCTCTCAAAATTTGAGGTTTCACGTTTCAGGACGCGTAGAATTCGAAAAACGAATACATTTTTTTTGTCCGTCCGCTGTACGCCGTCCGGGCATTTTCTCCGAAACTACTGGACCGACTTTTTTCAAATTTGGATATAAAATCAGAGGTCACTCGAGGATGATCCTCCTTCATCGACATTACTCTCCGCCTTTAACTTTCAAAATGGCGGCCGAAAAACCTGCGTTGCTATAGACTGTAGCTCTTAAACGAATGTACAGATTTCAATGAAACTTCGCTAAAGTCGTTTTCTGGATGCCCTTTAAATTTATCTATATAACATACTTCAACGAAAAGAAGCTGGAAAAAAAGTTACGAGGGCTGGTAAAATTAAATTCCGTATAACTCGAAAAGTGTTTACTTCTTTGTTGATATTGTATAGTTTTTTAAACGTTTACGAAATTTTCTAAAAAACAAAAAAAATCGTTAAAATCGGACAATTAGGAGCAAACATATGGTCTTCGGTTTTTTTTATATGTTCTACTCCAAATGTTATATCCTTGCTTTGGTTTTTAAATTTCAAATGTGTTACTGAACTAATGCTATTTTCTTTTAGCATATTACTAATGATTAAAGAACAACAGTTTAGTCCAATAATTGGAATCACCTTTTGTTTTTTTTTTCTTTGTAACTCGGAAGGTAATGTTACTTTAGATGTATAATTGTTTGGAGATAATAAACCATTGTGAAATCATTTGCAGCGTTTTTTACTTTCCTATCTATACTGGGTAAGGAAAGTATTGCAATTGGGTCAAATTTCCGATATGCAGCTTTTGACGGATCTATACGTTTCAGAGCCCCCTGAGTCTGAAAAACACATTTTTAGCCATTGGTCTGTCTGTCTGTGCCAAGATTTTCTCGGGAACTACTGAACCGATTTTGTTGCTTCTTTTTTTATTTTATAGGATTTTGACTACTGATGCCTGTGGCAGAAATTCGGTGCTCCATGCGCAATAGCTTGCGCGCAATAATTGGAAAACATGTTTTTCTATAGACAATGGCGGGAAAACGGCTCTAACGATTTTGATGAAACTTTCCTATAATGTTCTAATAATTGCTCTTTCAATTTTCGTACATGGACTAAATTCGCGAGAAAAAGTTATAAAGAAAAGAAAAATGTTATGGGGCCTAACTCCCTAAGTATATATTATAGGGTAAAATTTATATAAAACGTTTGAAAGATAATTAAATTACTAACAAAACAAAAGAAAAATCTTCGGAATCGAACCAGTATTAGCGATGATACAGGTTATTCAATTTTTTATACATGTTTTAACTTATTACTTTCCTACCTATACTAGGTAAGGAAAGTATTGCAATTGGGTCAAATTTCCGACATGCAGTTTTCGTCGGATCTATACATTTCAGAGCCCCCTGAGTCTAAATAAATCTATTTAAATTTTTTTTTGTTTCTTCATAAACATGTGTAAAGACTAAAAAACTATTCTGAAATAGGTAGCAAAGTCGTGTGAGTGGACACACCAGATGTTTTATTATACTGATATCGACATCAGATGGAAAACATCAAAAACAAGAAACAAAAACACTAGCATAGCACCAAAACAAGCATTTAAATATTTGTGTTTCCCGTAGTTTGTGAAATGTATAAACGTACCATCAAATAAGTCGATGCGTCATTCGCTGGCCTACGACTTTTATTCGGATAACTGATCAGTAAAAGTTAGGCTTGTTTGTGCTAAATAGAGGTGTCAGTTATTGGAAAATAATATATTTATATATATTTTTACTTTCACTTACGTATATATGTAATATATAGTTAGGGTAAGTATTGCGATCGAGAAAATATTTGAATCTGAGTTTCAACGGTTTTGAAGTACCCTGAGTCGAAATGACCAACCCCGAAAAATGGTCTGTGTGTTTGTATGTTAGCAGTCTAGCTCAAAAACGAAAAGTCGTACGAAACTGATATTACTTATTTAAGATAGGTATATGCCTTAGATGTGACAACAACTTTTCCCTCAAAATCGGCTAACCAGAAATGCCACTTTATATCAACGCTGAAACACATTTTTATGATTCTCTCAAAAACGGCTTTAACGATTTTGATTAAACTCGATGTATCTGTGTATAATGAAGTGATCTTTAATATCAATTAGGTCTTATCCTTATTGATGTCACTTTACAGGGCTTAAATGCCCAATGTTCATATACGTTTTTCTCTAAAGTACCTTTAATATAGTTTATTTCAAAAGGTTAATCATTTCACATTATTCAGAATTACGAAAAAAAGCTAAATATAACTTTTGACAGAATTTGATAAGTTAATAAAGGAGAAAAAAAGAAATAAAAACGCAGAAAAACCTGCGTTGCTATAGACTGTAGCGCCTAAACGAATGTACCGATTTCAATGAAACTTCGCTAAAGTCATTTTCTCGACACCCTTTAAATTTATCTATATAACATAATACTTCAAAAAAAGAGCTGGAAAAAAAGTTACGAGGGATGGTAACATTAAATTCTGAATTACTCAAAAAGTATACACTTTTTGTAGATATTGTGATAAGATGTTTGAAAGGTATTTAAATTTCCTAAAAAATAATAGAGGCTTCATCGAAATAAAAGCACTATTAGTAGAGATATCGCGATTTTAAAATATTTTTTTTTTTTAAACAAGGGAAAATTCCTGCTAGAAATAAACAAAAGAAAGTCTAACGCAGGTTTTAAAAAAAAAATTCAAGGGGACTGGGACAAGTGCTGACTTCATAACATTCGGCAATATTCGACTATTTCCGGCGTTTTATGAACAAGTGTGACCGAAGTGATTGTGCACCACCTCTAATCTTTGCGGAATCTCAAAATAAAAATCTCAAAATTGCGGTAATCAGTCAAAATAAAAAATAGTAAAAATAAATAATTATTATATTATTTTATTTATTCCATGTTATATTGAACAAATTTTACTATTGATTTTTAAAAATTGAAACATCAAAATATTTTTGATCGGGCATTCTTTCTACATGACCTCACCATCTTATCCTGGCTCTTTTTATCAATGTCACAATATCAGGTTCTCCATTAAGTTCTCGCAGCTCTTCATTCTTTCTTCTTCTCCAAATTCCATTCTCAGAAATTCCGCCCTATGTTCTTCTCATTACTTTTCTCTCCTAGGAGTTGAGCATGGGTTCTGAGTTTCCGTTTAGGTCCATAACAATCGATACATTTTATTTTTCAAGTATCAATATTAAACTATGTTTTAAAATTAAATTAAAGGATTACTTGCATAAACAAAGAAACAAAACCGGAACAAATTGTATGCCGACATGCAATATATATTTTTGCTATAATATTCAGAGGAAAGTATTCGGGATCATCTTAGCAATTCTCCATAATTTGATATATAAATGGATTTTCTCATATTAAATTTATCAAATAGTATTGAATTTATTTTTTACCTTCTGTAATAAAACAAAGCAATTGATACAATAGAACTTGTTGGAAATCTATACCCACCAAATTTTGTATAGGATTTATCATTAGATGTCCTATTATAAAATAATATAAAATTATAAATAATCTTGTTTTCAGATTGTAGAAACAGCAAAGACTAAGGTTTCACAACTATCGGCTTCAACAGTTGAGCAAGTCCATTCAATTACCAACAAAAGCTGGGATAAGGCAAACGAGGTCCTTTCTTCCACTCGCTATGGAAACGTAGCTCTTTCTGGATTGGATTCCGCCTCTAATGTCGCCGATCGCTACATTGACTATTATCTACCTGCAGCAGAAGGAGAAGAAAACATTCACCGTAAGTAACATAATTAATGCATTTTTGTGTATATTCTAGAAATTATCTCAGAGAGAGACATGTATACCTGCTATGTAGGAAACAAAAGAAATAATTGAAGAGAAATTGGTTGCGGTTTTCAGTCAATGAAAGTAAAAATGAATAAATTATATTTACTTTATTTCATTTGTGTCGACATTTTGATCTAACTTTCAGACCTTCATCAGGGCTAAACAAATACAAAATAACATAAATATTGAGAAAATAATACACAGTAATAGTAATCAATATTTATAAATTATCTTCTCTTTGCTTAGTCCTGATAAAGTCCTGAAATTTATGTCAAAATGTCAGCACAGAGAAAATAAAAATGAATATAATTTATTTATTTTTACTTTGTAGTTCCATTGAATGAAACCACAATCAACTTTTCTTCAATATATCTTCTACAGTCAAGAATTATCCACCATCAAAAAAGGAATAATTTGTGATAAAGCTTAATCTGCCTTAAGGACTAAATTAATGAATTTTTCTTCAATTATAAAATAAAATCAGTTATAAAAATACTAAATAAGAGAAATCAAATAGATTTTCAATGTGTCTTGAATTAGATAAAGATTACCGCATCCATTTCTTTTATAGTAATGGTTGGTGAATTAAAAGGAACAATAAGGTGTATTAATCAATACTATTTCATTGAAGTGTTAAAAATTACCATTCATTTCCCAGTTTCCGAAGGACTGTGATCTCTGTTATCTTTTATCGTTAATTGCTTTATCTACTTATCTTTTCAAATTAAAATGATTCACCCTTATGTCATAGTTTCCAGACTGTTGATAAGGCAGAATGTTAAAAAAATGTCATAATGATAAATTTTTATCACTAATTAAAAAAATTAATTACTTTATCAGATGTCATGTGTATGAAATTACAATGATTACAGATCTTATAGTTTAAAAAGTTACAAATATATTTTGTTATAATTTACATACAAATGTTACTATTGCAATATTTTTGTCTATTTAAAGGGATTCAGGTCAAGGAAAAAAAAAAGATCAATTTAGGGATAAGTTTTTAAATGATAAATTCCGTAAATTTGTAAAGTGTACGTCCATATGGGCTTAAATAGATAAATGTAATTTTTCAGTTTTTGTTTTAGGTTTAATTTTGAGAGTCTTGAGAGAAGTGAGTATAGTAGTCGTAGTCTGAGGTTTAATGCTGTTCTTTTTTTTTGTTGATATGTGGGCCCCATGTCATTCTTGCATCTAATGTTAGTCCATGATATTGTATTTTATCTGTTTGACGAATATCAGCATTATCAAAGTAAATAGAAGGGTATGTTTCATATTGACGAGTGAAAGTGATTTGTCTTGGTTAAGTAGTATTTTCCAAAGTTTACACCAATCAATTAATTTCGTTTGATGATGTAAAGTAAAGTCTGTGAGGCCTATGTATGATTTCTATGTCTTATTAGAATTGCTGTATCCTTTTCGTAAGCCAATGTAATAGTGCTGGTGCTGTTAGGAATGTCCAACGTATATTTAATTTATAAAAGCGGAACTAGTACTGAATTAGTTTCCATAATAAGTGTCTCACTGGTTTTCTGCCGTCTCTTATGAAGAAGCTTTTTAATCCATGCATCCATGAGAGAGTATGCTTAAATTCTTAACATTGTAAAATTACTGGAAATTAGTGATGATTAAAAATGATCTGCTACAGGAAATTATCCGCTAAGAGAAGTTTCACTGTAAATTCTCAACACTCGTTGTTACCATTATATATCATTTAGCATTTATTCAGCGCTGTATTCTATTAAACAAACTTTTCATTTGATTGATATTTTTAATAAATTATGTTATTATTATTATTATTTTTCAGAATAATAATTACAGTAAATTATTTTTTTAATTACTTGATTTCAGCTCACCCAAGCTCCGAATGTGAAGATAAAGTATTGCATACAGTACACACCGTTGGCACCCTTTCTACAAAGGTCGGAAGGAGAGTCTATACTCGTGTAGCTCGACCAGCTGCGCAAGAAGCTCAAGAAATGTCAGAAATTAAACCTAAAAAAGAATAGCCATAATTTTTTGCCTTCTTGTTTATATGTTCAATTAATAATAATTTGATAAACTAAGATTATCAAGATACTTAAAGTTTTATAAATCCAAATATCATTTATACTTTTATATATCTACATGTATATGTATGTGGTTGTAATGATTTGTTTTGTTTAATCTGTTAAATAAAATTACTTTTTTTTATTTTTTTTTTGTATTTTATTTGTAATTTTCCTTATTATAATCCATCAAAAAATAATATGAGAGATGTTGTAGCGATTGCAGTCATTTGAAGTATATGAAAAAAATTATATTTATTATATTTATATATATATATATATATATATATATATATATATATTTCTACAGGGTGAGTCAGTTCTTAATGGTTAAATTCTGGGAGATGAATCTAAACAAAATTCCCAACAAAAAAGTTCATATAATGCATGGTCCGAATCCAAACGGAAAAGTCCAAACTCCAATTTTGTGTTTTCTTAATATGGTTACTTTTCTCTTTCATATCTTGCGATAATAAATAATTATCTAATTTAGGTAATTAACAAATGCTATCCAGTAAACTGGCCAAAATATTCTTCAAATACAAGTTGAGTTTGTCTTTGTCAAAATCATTTAAAGGGAACTTTTGAGCAGCTAAACAAAAGGAAAAAAGGAATTACAACTTTGTAATAATTTATTGGTTGTTATTGTTTATTGAAATATAGATACCTTTGGGTGTCAGGGGTAGGATGGCCGATGGGACTAAGGTGTGTGCACAGCACCTCATTGCTAAGGAACCTGATGGAAGATAAGAAGATAAATGGAAGATAATAAGAAGATAAGGATCCAAACGGAAAAGTCCAAACTCCAATTTTGTGTTTTCTTAATGTGGTTACTTTTCTCTTTCATATCTTGCGATAATAAATAATTATCTAATTTAGGTAATTAACAAATGCTATCTAGTAAACTGGCCAAAATATTCTTCAAATACAAGTTGAGTTTGTCTTTGTCAAAATCATTTAAAGGGAACTTTTGAGCAGCTAAACAAAAGGAAAAAAGGAATTACAACTTTGTAATAATTTATTGGTTGTTATTTTTTATTGAAATATAGATACCCTTGGGTGTCAGGGGTAGGATGACCGATGGGACTAAGGTGTGTGCACAGCACCTCTTTGCTAAGGAACCTGATGGAAGATAATTGCTAGTTCGTGTCTTGGTAACAGAGGGGCTTTTAACTCTGGCATTAGTCTGTCAACCTCACCCCCTGGCCTGGGAAAATCCCTTGTAGTCTAAAAAGTGAGGAAGGAGAGGTGGAAAAAAAGATAATCTGGGATGACAGAATATCAAATCACATAATTTTTCATACAACTTGAAGTGAATTTCAACTCTGTTCTGCTACAAATTGATGTTCTGCTCAACAAAATTAATATGCTATTAAATCTCTTAAACAAGGAAGTTTTTATAAAAGTGAGGTATTTGTAGTACAGTTGTAAAATGATTAAAAAATAAATTATAAATAACCCAAAATTTAATGAAAAAAAGTTAACGTAGTTTAGTTACTCAAAAGTCTCCTTTAAATGATTTTGACAAAGGCAAACTCTACTTTTATTTGAAATATGTTGCATCTTGTTTACTATAAAGCAATTATTAGTTAACTAAATTACATAATTTTTGTGTTTTGGCTTCATGTGAAAGAGAAAACGTGAACATTTTAAGGAAACACAAAATCAGAATTAACTCATATTCCGTTCGGAATTGGTTTATGCATCAAATGAAATGTTTTGTTTGAAATTTTATCTAGAATCAACTCCCGGAATTTGACCGATAAGAACTGAATCACCCTGTATATATTTATACTGTAAATTACGTATATTATATTTGTTTTCTTCAAATGACTGCAATCACCAACCAATTTCTTTTAAAAAATCAGCATTCATAAATTTCTTCACCATCATAAAATATAATTTGATAAATAAATACAAATAAACATTATAATATATAAATAAAGTCAGCATTTCGTTAGTCTCTCTCCCTCCCTCCCCAAAATTTCTATTATTTTTTATTACTGCAATAGATTATTAGTCCATCAGCATTAATTTAGATAAAGCAACTGAATCTATATTCTTTGTAGCACCGTATATATATCTTTCAGTAAACCAGCAAGAATCATCTTAAATAAATTAAAGGACTGAATTCACAACAGTATTTGTACTTGCAGTTTGTAATTTGAGAAAAAAAAAAAGTAATGGTTTTGGAAATATAAATCACTAACACAGGGACTCATGAGAACAAAAAAAGTAGTTGTAGCTGTCCCAGTTTGTAAACACACTTAATTTTATAATCCAAAGAAACATTTTCAGTTAATCGTACAGAACGGAATATGTAATGCTCAGATTCATGAATAATATTCTTATCCTGAGAAATAAAATTTCATTTTTATTATTTTTTCAATGATAACATTCAAGGCAATGATCTTTGCCAAAAATGTTGCAATTTTGATGATTTTTTTCATTTTGTAGAAAATTTGGATACCTTTGCAATTATCCTGAGTTTAATCCATCATAAATTCTATACTTTCTGAGTTATGAGCTAGTAAAGTTTCTATTTTATTATAACTGATAACAATTTTTTTTCCTACTTTTTCTGGAGGTTGCTTTTTGAACCTGTAAAAGAAGATAATCTTCAAAATGATTGACCATTCATTGGATTAGATCAAGAATTAACAAAGATATGGTGTACCAACAGATCTAAACAAAAAGTGATTAGTATCCAATGGCACTTTGATTTATCTCAAAAATGGTACATTTTTGGACTTTAAAATGCAGGGCTTGACAATCTAACTGATTCTTGTTGCCTGCATTAAAGTCTTTAAAACACAATTTGTCTCATCTTAATTTATCAATTTACCAATTCCAGTGTTTTGAAACCTCTTACTTTTTCCAATGATTTTTGTTAAAAACAGTGGTATGATGGTTGACTGTAGTGAATAATTGAAGAGAAGTAGGTTGGGATGTTAAGTCTTCTTTCATCTCAGTAATTTCCTCATTTACCTTTTTTTTTTCCTTTACTTTATTTTCCATATTCCCACATCTATTTTGTGTATATTGATACATTTACTCATCACATCTTATCTTCACAATTTAATAATTTTAACTTTTGATTTCCCTTATATGTAGTCAGTGTGTTTTGATAGATTTTACAGTATCTTAATTTTTCTATTTAAATCTATTATTTTCTTTTTATAACCTCGTATTCATTTTCTTTGTTTTACATTTTATTCTTTGTCTATCTCACTTGTTTTTAACGTTATAAGACATTATATTTTAGCAACTACGTCACCCCATTCATTCTATATCTAATACTCACATTTTATTTCATTTTAGTTAATTTTTATTTTCATTTCTGTTACCTAATTTTATTATGTTTATTTCATTATTCCCCATCTTAATTTATTTAAACATGTTTATATCATTAGTTTCCAACTTTTTTGCCGATATTATTTATTTCATAAGTTCCCCTCTTTTACTGTTATTAATTTTCTTCATATGTTACTTACATTATTATTTTTTATGATAGACAACCTTCTTTAAGTTATTCATATTTTTTTTTTATTAAAAAGGTTTTTTATAAAAAAATAATATATTATTTTTTATTTATTTTATTTTTTCATTAGTTAATAGTTTCTAATATTGTTATCTGGTCTTTTCTTAGTCCTGATGAAGGCCTAAACTTTGGACCAAACGTCGGAAAATAAAAATAAACAAATTAAAAATAAATATCATTTATTTATTTTGAATTTGTTTATTTTTGACTGAACACCCCCAAGCTGTTTGATGGACTTCATAAGTGTTTTTCAGATAATTTTTATTTTCAATCCTTATTTATTTCTTCATTAAATAATTATTTTCACTTATAATTATTTCTGGTTTATGTATTCAATAATTTGATTTTTGGTGAGTTACACAATCGTGAAAGCGTAATATCTTGCCAGTCTTTCTTCTATCCAAACAAAAAATGTGTTTCTATATATTAATATACAATGTAGAACTTGAAGCTAAATATAGAAATAATGGTATTCAATATTTCCAATGAATTATTACAGAAAATATTATAAAAATTTTAAAGTTATGTTTGTATAATTAATGAGTCATGAAATGAATAAATACTATGAATTAAAAAAAAGAAAGAAAAACTAATATAATAGTAGAAACTAATATAACATAATAGTAGAAGAGAGGAATATTGAAAACTAATATTAATGAAATATAAATTCACATTTGAAAAGCAGGGTTTGTATACATAAAACAACAATTAATCTATGTTTTTAGAACAACTTCTTACAATGAATAATAGCTTGTTGCATTTTTTATTTTATCTCATATAATAATAGCCATTTAAGAGAAACAGACTAGTTTGAAAACGACTACTATGACATAAAAAACTAGAACTATTGCCACTAAGTAACAAAATATTGTTTGTTTTAATATTTTGTAATTATTTTAAAGCAAACTTTGATCACAGACAACAACTTTTAATTATTAAACTACTTCTGCTAAACATATAATTATTTATGTTTCTATTTGCCAATCACTGTACTCATTTGTACAATATCATTCAGTGATGAAATAATTAATTTTATGCATGCACAAAATTTTTTTTAAGCAAGACTTGAAAGGAAAAAAAAAAAAAAAAACATTAATTTGTAAAAAGTTTTGGTATCACTGGTATATTTATTGTTGATAGTTTTCAGTTCTTTAGGAAGTAGAAATTTTTCCAATGCAACGTTTCACAGAAATTTTATTTTTAAAAAACTTTAGTTAAAGATTCAGTCAATTTCACTAAAAACTCTATCTAAAAATTTATTTTATTCTTATCTATTGTAAGGAATGATACATTGGAACATGTGTAAATCATTTAAGACAAATTATAACGCTAATACTAAGCCCAATTACTGTTTATTTTTCATTTAACAGAACATTTTTTCTTAGTTAAAAAAGTAACTCTTTTTTAAATTACAATGTAATAAATAATATTAGAAAGGTACTGATTAACATATAAAAGACTTGGTTGAAAATTTTCCTTTATGAACTCAAGTTAGAAGTTACATAAAAGAAAACTATTGCGTTTAAATCAAAGTAATATTTTTCTATTCAGTTACAAATGTGTTTCCCCTTCTCCAGACATTAATGCTTTTATTAATGCAAATTATT